GGAGTCTCCCAGAGTAGCCATCGGATTCCGGTGGGACAAGGGCAAGGTGTCTTTGGCCGGGTCCCCCTTTTTGAAAAACAAAAGAACATCAAAATACAGGGGCCAGGGCACTACAATGCCACCATAAGGTATGCCCCCGCTTATATGCACCTGGTATTTGAAACTAAGAAAACTCAGGCCCTGATTTACAAAGCTGTTTGTACCTTTTTTCTGGCGTAGACGAGGAACGTGTGGTATGGACTAAAGAGTACATAAGCAGTTTGGCCATGGAAAGCGCAGTTTGCCAGATTCTCTCCTTTAGACATGCATTTAAGGGAGGATCGCGCAAATAACAGGTGGAGATACTATAAGTGTGGTTCTTTACATATTCCGCTGAATTCACTAAACATTGCCAGTTTTGTGGGAAAATATTTCCGCCTCTAAAGAGGGGGTGTAAATTGGCACAATCCTTTCACTGATTGTGGAATTAGCTGCACACTGCGAATGCTGCGCATACTCTCACCACCCCGCAGCCAAGTGACAACCTGTTGGGGTTATCAACTACAAAGTAGTAGCACATTGGGTACATCTGGCTGCTGGACCCCACTAGCCTCCATTATAGTGATAACATATGCTAAATAACCTGAATATTTATGTTTTTAACACATTGATAGGAGGGAACTATTTTTACACACAGTGAACTGTGCATTTACCAAACAAACCTCAATGCAGTGCAATTCTTACCTGATGACTTGTAGAACAACCAACCGCCTGAGATCGAGGCTATTCTGGGGTACTTCTCTAACAGGCTTGATATCTAAAAGCAAAGAATTTGCAATCAAGCATGTTTTTCACAAGATAGGTTCCTCAATAAAACTGAATTGAATTCAATTTGTTGTGGCGAACAATGAACCATGCTGCACTTATCTCAGCGTGAGAACTCATCACAGACTGTGTTTTAACCTTTTCCTTATCCCTGCCTGCATTAGGGCAAGCTCATCTGATGTTTTGGGGGTCTTCTCAGTCTTGCAAGCCAGCAAATACACTGCGACTAATGACTAATCCAAAAAGGTTAAGACATCAAGTAAAATGAATACACTGGAAAAGACCCAACACTAATGCTAGTTTGACTGTATATATGGATGCTGTGACTTCAGGGGTGTCCTAAATGCTAAGAGGCAAACATTGACATGTTGGTCTGCAAATAGTCCTGAAGCAAATCAAATCATTTCAAAACGTGCATGTATTATGACGTAACTACACTAGCTAAATGCCCTCCGTATAGATTTTTTTTTTTACCTTGCCATCTCTCAATCGACACTGTGCTGGAGTGAGGGTGGTTGTGGTGGTACAGTGTTAGGAAAAGCATTTATGTCTTTGGAAAAGGCATTAAGCAATTTCGTTTCAAGGTCCAGCCTGTTGATAAAGTTCATTAGATGGCAAGGTAAAAAAAAAACGACCCTGCCACAAACAGTGCCCTTTGCTCATGCCGTTTTTCTACCATACATGAATAATAATCTTTACTGACCTTATGTTTTAGTTTGGTTTTATAACATTTTTGACTGTTTGTGTTAGCTATATCTATAATTAACATGATTCACGAGTCTTGTAACTAAAATGGCTAGCTAGCTTCATGGACAGGCATAGAAAATCATCTACAGAGTAACAGACTGCCCAAAAAATCTAGTTAAATTGGTAGTTAGTTTATAATAGCCTACTCAACTCACCGGAGCCCTCACCTTCCCACTCCAAGTTGCTGCGTCTTCGTCCATGGCTTACAGTTACAGGTGTGTAGCTACTTCTCATGCACGCAGTCGCTCCGCGCTCTAAAATAAAATTGCATTTTTATTCAAGGCTATAAGGGAATCAGAGGTCTCCTCTAAGTGCTACCTGAAGCCCGTGAATGACAAACATGACCACATCTCAAAGTGCTTAGCCCATTTAATCCCATTCTTTCCCAGTACATGCCAGTATTCAAATCATATGCCATAATGACTCTATTAAGTAAAATGTATTGCTTTTTTAAACATTCAGTGCAATGGATAAGTCAGTGAAAATGTGTTTTTATACTGCGCCCCTACAATACAAATAGAACAGAATACATTTGAAATGCTTGTATAATGTAACTAATTGACAACTAAACATTGAAGACTTCAGAAAAGGCTAAATAAGTAAGTAACACTTAAATAGTTAATCACACATTCCAGTTCCTACCACAATGATTTTAATATTTACTTTTCGGTTGTCTCCCGTTTCTGTACATTCAGTCTTTTAAGTCCTTTAATACTGTACAGTACTATCATGATGTGGGAGACAGCTAGCCTCCTATGAACCCACATCATCCTATTAACTACATCAACTCCCTCATACACATCATTTAATTGGCATGACCTTGGTATCCTGCTGGATAAAAGCCCCAGTTACCAATAAGTATCAGTGTAAAGGATATTCTGCTTGTCCCGCTCTGTACACAGACTACACTATAAACACCAGGCTAAAAACTACAGACTACACTATAAACACCAGGCTAAAAACGACAGACTACACTATAAACACCAGGCTAAAAACGACAGACTACACTATAAACACCAGGCTAAAAACGACAGACTACACTATAAACACCAGGCTAAAAACGACAGACAACACAATAAACACCAGGCTAAAAACGACAGACTACACTATAAACACCAGGCTAAAAACGACAGACAACACAATGAACACCAGGCTAAACACTACAGACTACACTATAAACACCAGGCTAAATACTACATGCTACACTATAAACACTATAAGCTCCACACCTAACTGGGACTTCATCGGGTTCTCAAGTGGGCACTCCCTTTCACCGGTGTTTCGTTGATAAGCCAAACACTTTGGGGGCTTGACGGCAGAACCAGTGTCCTGGAACAAACCCCTCGATCCAACGTTCAACTCAGCCCTGACTCCCTACTGTCTGCTTGGGTCTGCCACCACTCATTCCTCTTCAGCCAGATCCAACGAGATGCCACTTCTGCCTGCTTGCCCAGCCACTAGCTTATTCCTTGCTACTCCCCAGGGCTCTCCAGAGTGATTGGCCTGTGAAGCCCCTGCAGCCGATCTCAACTGGTAGATTCCAGGCTCTCCATCCATTCTGCTGACTCAAGGATGAGGGACTGGTATTTCTTGCCTCTATCCTCTCCTCCCAGGGCGCTGTGAGCTCGATGAGGACCACCTGCTTGGTGTCTCTAGACCAGACAACGATATCTGGTCTGAGGCTTGTGCTGGCTATCTCTGGAAATCTGAGCTGCTTCTTGAGGTCTGCCTGCATACTCCAGTCGCCTGCTGTGGTAAAAATCCCTTTGATCCTTGTGCTCTTTGCTGAGCTCTCTCCTGACCTGAGGAAGTGGATGAAACAGGGGCCCTGGGTGAGATGTTTCAGCTTTCTCCTTGCTTGCTCCAGTCCCGCGGCCAGCTGAGTCAGTATTTGGTAATGCCGCCACCTGAATTTTCTATCGGTCTGACCTGCTTGGCAGGAGAAGAGCACATGCTCCAGATTGGCTTGTCGTCCACATAGTATGCAGCTGTCTGGGCTGTCTGCCAACCCCCACGTGTGAATTTTTGTTGCGGAATAGAAAAACCTTGTACACAGAGCAAAGCAGAAGATTAATCCGCTGCCCTTCCATGTTCAAGATGTCTTGCCAGCTGAGTGCCCTCTCTCTCATGCTCCCCCATCATGTCCAGCTGCCCTGTTTTTTTTCATGGCTACGACTCTGACATGCCTGCTTTCTTCCTAAGCCTTCCCAAGCTCCCTCTGACATGCCTGCTTTCTTCCTCAGCCTTTCATACCTCCCTCTGACATACCTGCTTTCTTCCTCAGCCTTTCATACCTCCCTCTGACATACCTGCTTTCTTCCTCAGCCTTTCATACCTCCCTCTGACATACCTGCTTTCTTCAAAAGCATGAAACATTCATGGAAATGTAGCTAGCTAGCTTGCTGTTGTTAGATAATTTGTCCTGGGATATAAACATTGTGTTGTTATTTTACCTGAAATGCACAAGGTCCTCTACTCCAACAATTAACAGATAAAACGGTAAAAGTGAGTTTTCTAGTAATCCCTCCTCCTTCTTTCGACTTTATATGGCGGTTGGCAACCAACTTTAAGGTGCATTACCACCACCAACTGGACTGGAGTGTGGACCTCAGTTAGTCTTTCAATCACCCACGTGGGTATATGTGCCTAAAAACCAATGAGGAGATGGGAGAGGCGGGACTTGCAGCGCGTCATGCGTCACAAATAGACCACGTTTCATTTTAGCGCCTGGCTACACAGACGCACATGAGCAGTTTGGATGCAATGATTGAATTACATGTATGTGTACATTTATTTCGCAACGCTCTCACACTTAACGCAAGCATTGTGGTCAGCATGTCAGCCTTTCAGACCTCCCTCTGACATCCCTGCTTTCTTCCTCAGCCATACCTCACCCACAACGCACCGTTGGATCTGCTTTCTTCCAGCTTGACCTGGTTGTGCATCCCAGACCCAGCCTGTCTTGGTTTACCGACCCAACAATGTCAGCGTGTTGCAGCTGTTCATCTTTCTCCCTGAGTGCTCCGCTGTTTTACCACTTGCGACCCGTTCTGACCTCGATCTCTGCCTGGCGAACCCTCTCATCCTTGCTGTCCTGCAGCATCATAGCCTGACGTGCTTTGTTGCCTTGTACTCCTCTACCACAGATGTAATTGGCAGCTGCAGCTTGCTGCCTGTGTTCTACAGGCCAATGGAGCAAAAGCTTCTTAATCCATTTTAAGCGCATCCCTCCAGACCTCGGTAGTGACCAAATGTGGCCCACAGGGAACATTTGTTTGACACCCCTGGGCTATATTGTCTAAAGCCATTTTCTGAGAGATTGTGTAAAATAATGTCAATTTTTTTTTTTTATAAATCACTAACAATATTGGAACAAACATTTTTATTCTCACTAAGAATAGCGGAAGAAACATGTGCTTAAAAGAGAATAATCACATTTATTAAAAACAGTCAACTTTCATAAAGAACATATGTACATAATGTATTTACAAACATGTGCATAGCCCAAATTTTCTTTTGATACATATAAATGGTGTGTGTATTATTATAGGCAATAATGGAGGTCTATGAGATATTGTACAACAGAGATTGAACTTGCAGCCAATCAATTAGATGCTTTATACAATCTGTGTGTAACAAGGTGGAGATCAACCCTTTAAGAGGCAGCTCAACTGAGCGGTTGACTACCAAATTAAAATGAAATTAAATGTGAATTTTGTTTTGCATATTTTATCATGCCATTTAGTAAAATGACTATGCGGTTTTCATTATTGGACTCCTATATCTTTTTAAACACACATTCAAAGATGGTTAAAAACCAGGATGTGAACGTGAGCAAAACTGAACCTCAATCACACATTTTCAGTACTAATTGTGCATTAAAAAAAAAAAATCTGTGCCAGTTAAAGGGTTAATTGGTTGATGGAATAGTGTCCAGCTGTGTGTATGATTCTACTTTTTCTCTGCGCTTGACTCGCCATAGACTGAACCTCTTGGTGTGCAGCGGGATCCCAACGCTAGAGACAGATTTCAAAGCATCTGCCATCATTTTCTTGACAATTGCTGTTCTTGCTGTGAACAGAATGAAAATCTGCAAGCCCTGTGGAGCGAAAACAAAAACACAAAGACGTTATCAAGTATTTTCAGGAACACACAAGTACAAACAAAAGGTAGTGTTTCTATAAAGAGCAGCAGAATTTATTAATGTTTAGTAGCTGTCTAGTTTTCAATCATGTCTGGATTCTGTGGTACAATAGCACACTAGTCTTTATATTTAACATTTGAGTCATTTATCAGACTCTCTTATCCAGAGCGACTTACAGTAGTGAGTGCATACATTTACTACCTGAGTGGTGGTGAGTACACAGAAGGAGATGTTGAGTATGGTGTACATGGTCTGGTTCTGTGTAATGAGCAACAGATAGCCCAGGATCCAGGAGAGACCGAGCACCACAGCCAGAGAAAAGCTACTGAGGAACTTCTTCTTCATCGATGTGTGTCTTGTACTGGGAAATATAACCAACATGCTTAGACTGCGGTCATAGACTGCTGTAATGCTGTGGTAAAATAACAGTATGCTTCCAATGACTGAGTGGGTTAGAGCATGGTGCTCATTAAATAGTATGAATTGGTTACTAATGACTGAATTAATAAGAATGAAATGATAATACATTTTATTTATAACAAGCTTTTAATTGAAAGACAATATGAAATTAACAAGCTTATTTGTAGGCATTTAAATCAAGACTGATCTTTATGACTACAACGTTCTACTTTGTGCCCCCAAAATGCCCCCATTAATGTTACCTGGTTATATGTGGGTTGGTCTTGCCTGTTGTAACTGCAAAAAATACCAACACCACCATGTTGAAGATAAGCATGAACGCCACAGGGATCAGGAACCCCCAAAACATTGGCAGCTTGAAGTCAAAGTTCCCCTTTGGATCAAGGGCAGCAAGCCAGCAACTGAGAGGTCAAATTAATGAGTTAGAGAGTGGGACTTTGTGACAGACAAAACAGGACGCCAGTGATTTGAATAACGTGGTATAAAGTAAACATGGTGGGTGGCATAAGTAAACAAGAAACCTTTCAACACAATGTTTTAACTTTTTATATTGCTCTTGGCCAATTATTAGCATGCATTATAAACATGCACACGAACATTGATAGGGATAACCTTTTACAGTATGAGTAATACAATTTTATAAAGCAATTGCCCCACTTTAATTAAAATTGAATATATTATAAAATAACCACAAGAGGAAGTAAATTGCAATACAGCACAGTACTCAGGTGTAGTAGTGGTAGTACAGTACAGAATAGTAAAATACAGTATAGTATAGTACAGTGCAGTACAGTATAGTAAAGTATAGTATACTACAGTATAGTCAGTACAGCATAGTATGGTAAAGTATAGTATAGTACAATACAGTACAGTATAGTATAGTACAATACAGTATGGTATAGTACAGTATAGTATAGAATAGTACAGTATAGTATATTACAATACAGTAAAGAGAGGTAGTACAGAAGTAGTATAGTACAGCACTGACTCACAATTCCTCCTGCCTGTAACCCAGTGGATCATCCACTCTGTAACTAATTCCTAAGGTGAGGGCCACCACAACCGCAGGCAGTCCTAAAGGACAGAGAATGTTGTTGTTATTTCCTGGTAGATTAGCATGCAGACATATACAGATGATATACTACACATACATCCTCTAAAGACATAACATCACTATACAAGTCGCTTTGAAGTTCTATTTCAGGCATATTAGAGCCTGAAAATATAACCTAGCATTCGTTTTGGTTCAAGGAGCCCAGGGCTAATGCCAGCCAAAGCTTCTGAAACAACTAAATACTTTATTTTTCTCCAAGCTGTCCTACCCCATCCGATGGCCACGGTATAGGCTGTGGAGTGTGACGGGCTGGTGGCCAGGCTGTTTCTGATCATCAGGAAGACATGTGTGGCGTACAGCGTGTTCCAGGTGAACGTCCCCAACAGGAAGTACTGCAGCAGGACTGCGACTGCAGTACAGGGGCCTCTGTCCCGCTCTGTGTGTGTGTCGGACGAGGGGACAATGTTGGCCTCCTGTATTTCAGGTTTCTCCAGCTGTTTATGAGGGTTGTCCACTCCCAACACGAAGAGGAGGGTGAAGATCAGGAGACACACGCAGACGCTCACTAAGAGGACAGTTGGGTTGGTTTTGCGTGATTTCCTGGGGATAGGTGATAGACAACACTATGTTAGGGAAGTTAGATGCGTAGCTATGGATGTGTTGGTTCTTTAATAGTGGGTTTCATATTGGTTTCACCTATCAAGTCGTGTTGGATCAAACAAAGGGCTTCTTTACACTATTGAGATGCAATATTTTGAATTGGTTCTGGAACCCTGTAGGATCTTACCGGGTCACCATCTGGAATGTTATTGTATATTTTTAATTTGTTCTGGAACCCTGTAGGATCTTACCGGGTCACGATCTGGAATGTTATTGTATATGTTGAATTGGTTCTGGAACCCTGTAGGATCTTACCTGGTTGCGATCTGGAATGTTATTGTTAAACTCAACCCTATGATGGACATGGAGCATCCCAATATGGTGATCCAGTTTAGCACTTGAGCATATTTAAAATCCTTCCTAAACGACTGTAGAAAAAAAGAAAAAAGAAATTTTAACACCAAGTTTCTGTCACAGTCATACTGTATAAAGTCATCTCCCTCATGTGTCTGGATATGCTGTGGTAAACTATAGGTCAGCGGTTCCCAAATAGGGGTTGCGACCACATGTGAGGTCGCCTGAAATTAAAATGGGGTCGCAGGAGAATTTCCAAAATCCCGCTAAAAATATAAATGAAAAGTATTCAAATCTAAAACATAAAATTCAACCAGAGAGTTCCCTTATATCTTCGGAAAATACCATATTTTACCGTTGCACTTGAATCATTCCCACTTAATCTGACCACATTTAAAATACACAAATGCGGGACAACAGGATGATTTTGCGGGACAGTGTAGCCTACCCGATACATAATTTAGAAATAGGCCAATGCATAATCGCTGTCAATTGTGAATGATAATTCTTCATGTTTTGCCAGTGAAATGTCCAAACTGCGTCTGATTGCCAATCGTTTGATCTCAATCAGATTCATGGGAATATGCATTTAGATCTTCTTGAATTTCATGCGCAAATTAGAGCAGATGATGTTAAGAAACTATATAGCCTTCCTGTATTTTGTTTCAATCAAAGCATATTCTGCCTAGTGACGTGCGCTGTTGAGTTTAGGCTACAACATCATTTTTGGGGACTATTCAGCTAACCATCCTAAATCTCATGAAGTGGTGTTTTTAATGTGACAGTAACGTTATACTATGCTATTATATGTTATGTAAAATACTAATTCATCATTACGTGATCTTCCAAGACATTGATTCAACTTTTATCTAACTTTACTCAACGAGCACCATTGTGAGAAGTGGCGGAGTGACGCTCCGGTGTCCTCTGGCAGCACTACACCCCTGCAGTCATCTGCACCGAACGAGCAATTGAAGTGTAGCCAACTCTTTTGCCTTGAACAACATTTGGTGATACAGAAACGAGAGACCACGTGTGGCTGTTTTATGAAAATCGGGGACTATTTGGCCAATGAAACATTTCAGGTTGGTCTCAGGGAATGTAATACAGTTAGGATGGGAGACTTTCAAAACGAGATTGAGTGAAGTAGCAGCAAATACAGTATGTTGAATGAGCAACTAATGAGCATGGAAAGCCTGGGGGGATGCTGAAAAATGTTTTTTGCCTACGCTACAAACGGTTATATCGGTCTGCTAATACAGGACTAGTAAAGGCCCAATGCACTACTTTACTGAAAATATGTATTATTATTATTTTGTCATTGTGATTTTTCAGGAGGTGCTGCAGCACTCTACTTCCCACTGCTATGATTATATCTTTCAGTCTAATGTGGCTATTTACCTACTTTTCTAGCTCTTCAGCAGAAGCTTTTTGAAGTAGTTAGGAGGCCTAACTATGAGATATTGTTGAACTTTCAGCTAATCAATTAGATGTTTTATACAATCTGTGAGTAACAAGGTGGAAATTAACTGATATTTGTTGACTAAAGGCCTATGTCTTGTCTTGTATTGAGCAGAATATCAGATCTCAACAAGGATTGGAGAAGTGCTTAACATCACCATAGCTACCACATCCTAATGATATTTTTTCATAAGGGCAACGTGACTGCAAGAAACATGTTGGAATGTCTGACTGAAATACTGGACAAATCAAAGTTTTTTCTAAATTGGTGGTGTTTGAATTTGTTGATAAAATGCGGGACATGATTGTTTAGTTGCGGGACAAAGGGCCAAAATGCGGGACTGTCCCGCACAATCTGGGACATGTAGTCACCCTATTCCCAGGTGAATGGCTAGGCCCACTACAGAATGAAACCACACACTATTTCAGAGATATTACCGCCACAATCAATATGGTGAAAACAAGGTGTGGGGAGGCCGAGGCACAGAAACACTAATCAATACCTTTGTCAGATAACACTGTAAAACTATGAATTTATGCTATAGCTAGCAATCCAAATGAAACCTACTGAACCACTCAAAAACTCCCCAGCTTTCCAAATGGACGTTAGCTGTGAGGGCCGAGATGCCCATTAATGTATTTTGTTCGCTACATGTCGGGGGATGCTAATCACGAGGACGTATTGTTCTGTCTCACGATTCTCGAGCATGAAACTGCACAGAGGTTGCACTGCGTGGCTATATTGACAAAAAACTGATTCCATGTGAACGAATGGGCAAAAAAACAGACAGACTTTCTTGACTTTCTGTGTAATGAAAATGAAATGTGTCTCCTTGCCTATTTAACTGGCATATTTGGGAAACTGAACGAACTGAACGCAAGCATGCAGTGGAAATACAAAAACATTCTACAGATGAGTGACTGAATCAGTGGATTCAGAGGAAAGACTTCTTATTGGAGAGAAATCTGTTTGATTGTGATCCTGGCTTAGTTGACATGCCGGGAAGTGAAATTGAAAATCTGATCGAGCCGTCATATGACCGAATGCTGCAGATAACCCATTTTGGTTCCTCACTCAAAGGGAATACCCTGCCGTCTCCCTCCGAGAATTAAAACTCATGGTACCCTTTGCCAGCTAATATCTGTGTGAGGCTGGATTTAGTGCACTCGTCTGCATTAAAACCAAATATCGATCCAGGTTGGAAGTGACAGCAGAGATGAGGTGCACACTGTCAACCACACCCCCTGACTTTGAGAAGCTCTGACGCGACATGCATCATGTCTCTGATCTCATCATCTCATTAGAGGTGGTGAGATAAGAGACATTATGTCAGACCACTTTGCTATTGACTGTCATAGCCCCACATTAAAAGTATGTGATGGTGAGTTGAGAAGACAATCAGAAATACTGTTAGAATGTTTTGCAATTGACTGCCATAGCCCCATAGCCCATCTTAATTACTACAAAAAAATCACATGGTTGGGGTCACAAGACTTTTCAGATATCAAAATGGGGTCATGGGCCCAAAAAAATGGGGAACCCCTGCATAGGTCAAAGTGTGGTCAGTTAAAGGGAGATGAAGGCAGCTAGCTACTCACCATAAGCACAGCAAAGTTAGTGGTGTGATTACAGAAACATCGCAGGCCGTCTTCTGAGTGGTTGACTTTGGAGCAGCCATAGGTGCTCCAGTCTTTCAACGTGTAGTTCCACCACACGCAGGCAAAGTCATAGAGGGAGGCGTTGGGGACAGCCTGAGAAGTGAGAACAGAAACAAACTCACTGTAAATCCTTCAGCAAAAGACACAGTATTCCTCAAAATCATGAAGTCAATTGTGAAGTATAACAGGTCATGAAGTAAATGTGGGAAATAAATAATTACAATTATGATTGATCGTATTATAGACACTACAACATATTCTTCCTTGTTCACTGGCCAAAATATACTTCCTTGTTCCTAATGTCGGATAAGCGTCAATGGATAACATAGATCAGGGGTGTCAAACTCATTCTAGTGTCTGCTGGTTTTTGTTTTTTCCTTTCAATTAAGACCTAGACAATCAGATGAGGGGAGTTCCTTACAAGGGAGGAGCGAAAACCCACAGCAACTCGACCCTCCGTGGAATGAGTTTGACACATGTGACTTAGATAATGGACAGCATCCCACTACGTTTCCCAGAGAATTTGGACCACTATGCGTTTATTGATTCCAAGATAAATCTTACTGTGGGCTTGAAGAGCATCTCAACATGTAACCCAGACACACCCAGGTTAGCAGAGATTACCCTTCTGCTGGTTCCTGAAGAAGCTCTGAAAGTCCTGGACCTGAAGAACCGGTCATTTTGGTAGAGCACAAAACCAATGGAGTAGTTTGTGTTTTTATTACGTAAAACTGAGTGGAGTGAAGGAGAAAGAGAGTGAGAGAGTTAGAGAGAGAGAGAGAAAGAAAGAGAGAAAGGGGGGGAGAGAGAGAGAGAGTGTTTTTCATCTCAGGACTTTGTATACATGAGTAGCTTGACCTTGCCTTGTAGGCTTATTTCGATACTTTACTTATCCATATCTCATGTGACTCAACTTTATTGGGCAATCTAAATATTTGGCACTGCTTACCTGATTTCAGAGATGAGAAACAGCAGTTAAGTGCTCTCTGTGAAAGCTCTACAAGGAAATTGAAGCTTGAGTTTATATACTGTTTGCATACCAACATTGGCTCACCTGGTGTGAATTTTATGACAATCTGGATATCGGTAGCACCTCCTTTGTCAGCTATCAGTTCAGAGGTATTGGTGTTGAGATGAATTCTGTTGGCCACAAAATTACCAGATCTTCCTGGAGAACGAGATTAATTTGATTTATACATTTAAAGCAGAACAATATAGTGTTCCTTCTGTACCACAGGAGGTTGGTGGCACCTTAATTGGAGAGGACGGGTTCATGGTAACGGCTGGAGCGGAATCAGTGGAATGGTATCAAATACATCAAACACATGGTTTCCATGGTTTCCATGTGTTTTATGCCATTCCATTCGCTCCGTTCCAACCATTATTATGAGTCGTCGTCCCCTCAGCAGCCTCCACTGTTCTGTACTTGTCTATAGTACAACAAATCAAATCCATACCAAACCTTATTGACCAACATCAGAGGAGAAAAATTAGAAAAATTAGATAGGAAAACGTTGATCTAGACTGTCAAAACAGATATAAACTATCACTTTAAACGACACTATGTAGGTTCACTAGCAGTCCCACCCACCAGTCAGAGCAGTAAACTGGATCCCTACTGTGTCACTTGGTACTTGGACAGATTGGACTACCAGGTTGGGCTGAACCACCAAGGACACGTTACTCTGCTGGTCCAGGGAAAACTCCTCCAGGGTCTCTGTGAGGCTGAGAGAGAAACACAGAAAAACATTAGTTTACATGCACCCATGCAGACACGCACAGAGACACACGTACACACATAAACTCAAACATATGTACAAACACACACACACACCTCTGGACAGCATCACTCTCCTGTGTAGTCTCCCCACTGGCATTCAGCAGCTGACTGATGGTAGTTACAGCTGCCACTGCGATGTCCTGCAACATGATCAAAACCCTCAAGTGTTCAAATCACTGCAGTAACAACCTCACGTTTCTCTCCAGAACATGTCATAGTCACAACTTGATTTGAAAACATGTTATACCTCTGTGATATTTACAGACTGAAGCAGAGTGTTAGCTATCTGAGCTGCTGTGGTGATGTTGTCAGCTGATAGCCGCTCTGGTTGGGAGGTCAGGATCTGAGTACTGAAGGCTAGCTGTGCTAAATCACCTGAACTGCTGGAGATCTGAATAGGGAGAGAGAATTATTTTTATTTATTTTATTTTTGTATTGTTTTTAAACAGAACGTTGTATAAGTGGCAGCAACATGCTGAACTGTGAGTACATTTACATTTACGTCATTTAGCAGACGCTCTTATCCAGAGCGACTTACAAATTGGTTCATTCACCTTATAGCCAGTGGGTTAACCACTTTACAATGTACTTTTTTTTGGGGGGGGGGTAGAAGGATTACTTTATCCTATCCCAGGTATTCCTTAAAGAGGTGGGGTTTCAAATGTCTCCGGAAGGTGGTTAGTGACTCCGCTGTCCTGGCGTCGTGAGGGAGCTTGTTCCACCATTGGGGTGCCAGAGCAGCGAACAGTTTTGAGTACATTGGGATATTAAAATTGCCAATACTAACTATGTGGCTCAGTTGGTAGAACATGGCACTTGCAACTACAGTGTTGTGGGTTCGATTCCCACAGGGGACCAGGACGAAAAAGTACAAAAATGTATGCACTCACTACTGTAAATCGCTCTGGATAAGAGCGTCCGCTAAATGACTAAATGTTATAAAAGTAATGTAAAACACAATAAATAAAAAAAGAATGTTCCTCATCAACTGTTAAGTAGAATAAAGGAACAGAATACATGAGCTGAAGGTAAAAGCCAGTTATTACTGATCCTCAAACTGTAAGATCGACTCCTCATAATGATAACTGTAAATCTAATCAAATTTGATTTGTCACATGTGCCAAATACAACAGGTGTAGACTTTACAGTGAAATGCTTACTTACGAGCCCTTTCCCAACAATGCAGAGTTAAAAAGTATGAAAATGTGCACCCCCCCAAAAAATAAGTAGTAAAATAGACATTTTGGGCTCTGGACAAGGCATCGCAGTGCTAGAGGCGTCACGACAGATCCAGGTTCGATCCTGGGCTATATCACAACCGGCCCGTGATCGGGACCTCCATAGGGCGGTGCACAATTGGCCCAGCGTCGTCCAGGTTAGGGGAGGGTTTGGCCGGGGGGGTTTACAAGTAGGCCGTCATTGTAAATAAGAATTTGTTCTTAACTGACTTGCCTAGTTAAATAAAGGTTAAATAAAAATAAAAAAAACACAATAAAATAACAATAACGAGGCTATAACCGGTAGTTTGAGGTAGTTGAGTTGGTTGAGGTAATTGACCAAAAGAAAGAAGAACGCAAAATCAAGACTGGTCATAAATCAGGATCATAAAAAATATCCCTATTGACTTACATTTCCTTGAATGCCACTGAGGGTCAATTCACACTGCAGCTTGTGAGGAGGACCAAACATCGGAGATCCAGTGTTGTTCAAACATCTTGCTGAGGCTTTTGGTAATCCGGCTGGAGGAACCAAGACAAAAAGATATTCAAGATTTTGTGTTACCTTATGCAACATTAATTAGGACTGTAACAGATGAATACATTATTGTCATTTTAGGTGAATAAAAGCAACATACCACTGGTTGTCTCCTCACCACACAGTTCTTCTGAATAAGCAGACCAGCCAACCGTTGTTCTTGGGAAGGATAAATCAGCAATGATGGTGGAATTGCAGAAATTCCCTATCGAAGAAAAATGAATTTCAACATGGACCAAATGTATGAATGCAAAAATGAAATATACATTCTGAATGTAATATCCAAGGAATAGAGTTGTGGGGTGCCGGGTGTAGCACGAAGCTAGCTAGCTAGCTAACTCACCTCCTGGACTAGCTGGCGAGTAGCTATTAGCAACGGTAGCAACTAAATACAATATCCTTTTAGCCAGCTACATTCGTTCGCAGCGACGCCGTTTTTCAAACAAAGTCAACACAGCAGCCATTGCTAGCTAGCCAACACTACCAGCTAGCTGTACTGTAGCAGCTAAATACAATATCTTTGTGCTAGCTAGCCAACGTTTAATTATTGCTGCGTTATGAAAGGAACTAGACACGGACACGAATTATCTGTTTAGTGTGTTAACACACTATTGGTAGTTTTTTGTAACCAAGTATTGGTGCTAAACTGTCTGTTATTGAATGCTAGCATGCTAGTTAGCTATGGCGTCATAGTTAGCTAGCTGAATAAAGTAAGTTGAGTCTATTCCTTGAAACATTGAACCGCTGTAGTTTACAACAATTCTAATTTCTGAGGTGGAAGTTGGGAGAGTTATATTTGGGAGTTTTGGTGAGGGAGGCCCTGTTCTCTCCTTTCCCAGATGTTTAGTTCATTTCATTCCGATCTCCTCTGCATTATTGTAGCCATCTGCTACAGCCTGTCAACTATGCCTCTGCCTATCCCTGTTCTCTCCTCTGCGCACAGGCTACACAAACGCCTCACACCGCGTGGCTGCTGCCTCTCTAACCTGGTGGTCCCTGCACGCACCAAACACCTGGAGTTCCAGGTCTCAGGCAGCCTCTGGAACTGCCGTTCTGCTGCCAACAAGGCTGACTTCATCCCAGCCTATGCTAGCCTCCAGTCCCTCGACTTCCTGGCGCTGACGGAAACATGGATTACCACTGAAAACACTGCTACTCCTACTGCTCTCTCCTCGTCTGACCATGTGTTCTCGCATACCCCGAGAGCATCTGGTCAGAGGGGTGGTGGCACAGGAATCCTCATCTCTCCCAAGTGGACATTCTCAATTTTTCCCCTAACCCATCTGTCTATCTCCTCATTTGAATTCCATGCTGTCACAGTCACTAGCCCATTTAAGCTTAATATCCTTGTCATCTATCGCCCTCCAGGTTCCCTTGGAGAGTTCATCAATGAGCTTGACGCCTTGATAAGTTCCTTTCCTGAGGATGGCTCACCCCTCACAGTTTTGGGGGATTTCAACCTCCCTACGTCTACATTTGACTCATTTCTCTCTGCCTCCTTCTTTCCACTCCTCTCCTCTTTTGACCTCACCCTCTCACGGTCCCCCCCTACTCACAAGGCAGGCAATACGCTTGACCTCATCTTTACTAGATGCTGCTCTTCTACTAATCTCACTGCAACTCCCCTCCATGTCTCCGACCACTACTTTGTATCCTTTTCTCTCTCGCTCTCCTCCTACACTACTCACTCTGCCCCTACACAGATGGTAATGCGCCGCCGCAACCTTCGCTCTCTCTCTCCCACTACTCTCTCCTCTTCCATCCTATCATCTCTTCCCTCTGCTCAATCCTTCTCCCTCCAATCTCCTGATTCTGCCTCCTCAACCCTCCTCTCCTCCCTTTCTGCATCCTTTGACTCTCTGTGTCCCCTATCCTCCCGGCCGGCTCAGTCCTCCCCTCCAGCTCCGTGGCTTGATGACTCATTGCGAGCTCACAGAACAGAGCTCCGGGCAGCTGAGCGGAAATGGAAGAAAACTAGACTCCCTGCGGACCTGGCATCTTTTCACTCCCTCCTCTCTACATTTTCTTCATCTGTTTCTGCTGCTAAGGCCACTTTCTACCACTATAAATTCCAAGCATCTGCCTCTAACCCTTGGAAGCTCATTGCCACATTCTCCTCCCTGCTGAATCCTCCTCCCCCCCCCCCCCCTCCTCCCTCTCTGTGGATGACTTCGTCAACCATTTTGAAAAGAAGGTTGACGACATCCGATCCTCGTTTGTTAAGCCAAATGACACTGCTGGTCCTGCTCACACTGCCCTACGTTTTGACTTCTTTCTCCCCTCTCTCTCCAGATAAAATCTTGCGACTTGTGACGGCCGGCCGCCCGACAACCTGCCCGCTTGACCCTATCCCCCCCCCCCTCTCTTCTACAGACCATCTCCGGTGACCTTCTCCCTTACCTCACCTCGCTCATCAACTCATCCTTGACCGCTGGCTATGTCACTTCCGTCTTCAAGAGAGCGAGAGTTGCACCCCTTCTCAAAAAACCAACACTCGATCCCTCTGATGTCAACAACTACAGACCAGTATCCCTTCTTTCTTTTCTTTCCAAAACTATTGAGCGTGCCGTCTTTAGCCAACTCTCTTGCTATCTCTCTCAGAATGACCTTCTTGATCCTAACCAGTCAGGTTTCAGGACTGGTCATTCAACTGAGACTGCTCTTCTCTGTGTCACGGAGGCTCTCCGCACAGCTAAAGCTAACTCTCTCTCCTCTGCTCTTGTCCTTCTAGACCTGTCTGCTGCCTTTGATACTGTGAACCATAAGATCCTCCTCTCCACCCTCTCCGAGCTGGGCATCTCCGGCGCGGCTCACTCTTGGATTGCGTCCTACCTGACCGGTCGCTCCTACCAAGTGGCGTGGCGAGAAGCTGTCTCCGCACCACGTGCTCTCACCACTGGTGTCCCCCAGGGCTCAGTTCTATGCCCTCTCCTATTCTCGCTATACACCAAGTCACTTGGCTCTGTCATATCCTCACATGGCCTCTCCTATCATTGCTACGCTGACGATACACAACTAATCTTCTCCTTTCCCCCTTCTGATAACCAGGTGGCGAATCGCATCTCTGCATGTCTGGCAGACATATCAGTATGGATGACGGATCACCACCTCAAGCTGAACCTTGGCAAGACGGAGCTGCTCTTCCTCCCGGGGAAGGACTGCCCGTTCCATGATCTCGCCATCACGGTTGACAACTCCGTTGTGTCCTCCTCCCAGAGTGCGAAGAGCCTTGGTGTGACCCTGGACAATACCCTGTCGTTCTCCGCTAACATCAAGGCGGTGACCCGATCCTGCAGGTTCATGCTCTACAACATTCGGAGAGTACGACCCTGCCTTACACAGGAAGCGGCACAGGTCCTAATCCAGGCACTTGTTATCTCCCGTCTGGATTACTGCAACTCGCTGTTGGCTGGGCTCCCTGCCTGTGCCATTAAACCCCTACAACTCATCCAGAATGCCGCAGCCCGTCTGGTGTTCAACCTTCCCAAGTTCTCTCACGTCACCCCGCTCCTCCGCACACTCCACTGGCTTCCAGTTGAAGCTTGCATCTGTTACAAGACCATGGTGCTTGCCTATGGAGCTGTGAGGGGAACGGCACCTCCGTACCTTCAGGCTCTGATCAGTCCCTACACCCAAACGAGGGCATTGCGTTCATCCACCTCTGGCCTGCTGGCTCCCCTTCCTCTGCGGAAGCATAGTTCCCGCTCAGCCCAGTCAAAACTGTTCGCTGCTCTGGCACCCCAATGGTGGAACAAGCTCCCTCACGACGCCAGGACAGCGGAGTCACTCACCACCTTCCGGAGACATTTGAAACCCCACCTCTTTAAGGAATACCTGGGATAGGATAAAGTAATCCTTCTACCTCCCCCCCCCCCAATTTGTAAGTCGCTCTGGATAAGAGCGTCTGCTAAATGACGTAAATGTAAATGTAAATGGACTCTGAATGTGAGATCCAGGGTTAGGAGTAGTGTAGTGGTGTGTACTGTGAATGTGAGATCCAGGGTTAGGTATAGTAGTGTAGTGGTGTGTACTGTGAATGTGAGATCCAGGGTTAGGTATAGTAGTGTAGTGGTGTGTACTGTGAATGTGAGATCCAGGGTTAGGTATAGTAGTGTAGTGGTGTCTACTGTGAATGTGACATCCAGGGTTAGCAGTGGAGGCTGCTGAGGGGAGAATAGCTCATAATAATGGCTGGAACGGAGCGAATGGAATGGCATCAAACCATGTGTTTGATGTATTTGATACCGTTCTACTGATTCCGCTCCAGCCATTACCACAAGCCCGTCCTCCCCAATTAAGGTGCCACTAACCTCCTGTGAGGGTTAGGAATAGTAATGTAGTGGTGCGTACTGTGAATGTGAGATCCAGGGTTAGGTATAGTGTAAGTGTGTGTTTACGTACCCTTTGAACAAGTCTCTCCGGTCCACTCATCAGGACAGATACAGACTCCATTCTGCAACTCACCACCGTTGATACAGACCAGAGGAGGGGTTGTGGTGGTAGAGGTGGTGGTAGAGGTGGTGGTAGAGGTGGTGGTAGAGGTGGTGGTAGAGGTGGTGGTAGAGGTGGGGGTAGAGGTGGGGGTAGAGGTGGGGGTAGAGGTGGGGGTAGAGGTGGGGGTGGGGGTGGTGGGGAGACTGGTACTGGTGATAGGGATAGAGGTAGGGTAACCAGTAGTTGGAGGACCAGTAGAATTTAGGTAACCAGTAGTTGGATGACCAGTAGTAGCTGCAGTGTATTCAGTAGTTGGAGTGTCGGTAGTTGGTGTGTCGGTAGTTGGCCCGCTAGTTGGAGTGTCGGTAGTTGGGGTATCGGTAGTTTGAGTGTAAGTAGTTGGAGTGTCGGTAGTTGGACTGTCATTTTGAGTGTTGGTAGTTAGTTCTTCGGGAATGACAGTAATTGGTATTTCAGTAGTTGGAGTGTCGTTAGTTGGAGTGTCGTTAGTTGGAGTGTCGTTAGTTGGAGTGTCGGTAGCTTCCTGAGTTACAGTTTCGGGAGTTGTAGTGTCGGTAGTTAGAGTGTCGGTAGTTGGCATGTCGGTAGTTGGACCGTCAGTTGGAGTGTTGGTAGTTATTTCTTCGGTAGGGTAAGTAGTTGGAGTGTAAGTAGTTGGAGTGTCGGTAGTTGGACTGTCATTTTGAGTGTTGGTAGTTAGTTCTTCGGGAATGACAGTAATTGGTATTTCAGTAGTTGGAGTGTCGTTAGTTGGAGTGTCGTTAGTTGGAGTGTCGGTAGCTTCCTGAGTTAGAGTTTCGGGAGTTGTAGTGTCGGTAGTTAGAGTGTCGGTAGTTGGCATGTCGGTAGTTGGACCGTCAGTTGGAGTGTTGGTAGTTATTTCTTCGGGAGTGTAAGTAGTTGGAGTGTCGGTAGTTGGACTGTCATTTTGAGTGTTGGTAGTTAGTTCTTCGGGAATGACAGTAATTGGTATTTCAGTAGTTGGAGTGTCGTTAGTTGGAGTGTCGTTAGTTGGAGTGTCATTAGTTGGAGTGTCGTTAGTTGGAGTGTCATTAGTTGGAGTGTCGTTAGTTGGAGTGTCATTAGTTGGAGTGTCATTAGTTGGAGTGTCATTAGTTGGAGTGTCATTAGCTGGAGTGTCGGTAGTTGGAGTGTCGGTAGTTGGAGTGTCGGTAGTTGGAGTGTCGGTAGTTGGAGTGTCGGTAGTTAGAGTGTCGGTAGTTGGCATGTCGGTAGTTGGACCGTCAGTTGGAGTGTCAGTAGTTGGTGTTTCAGTAGTTGGAGTGTCGTTAGTTGGAGTGTTAGTCGTTGGGGTGTCAGTAGTTGAAGGGGCACTAGCTGGAGGGGCAGGGGTTAAAGGGCTAGCAGTAGCTGGAGAGGTTAAAGGGGCAGTAGTAGTTGGAGAAGTTATGTCAATGGTGGTTGGAATGGCAGAGGATGTGGTGAGATCCCCCTGTGGCAAAGAGACTTCCCCCAAAAAAATATATACTCAGTAAATCAAATTAACAAGGGTACATAGTGTCAGTTGCTATAAGCATAGGAGATGATCCATGTTGTTCCAGTTTCAATGTGTCTTCAGCAGTGTATAAATGTTTTCTACTGTACTTTATGAGAGAATTAAGTCAATATCACTGCCAATAAACGGTTGACATTTGATAGCAAAGCCTACTCTGTTATCAACTGTATCTGAGACCTGACAGTAGTCTATTCACAGTATGTAAAGACCGGCTTAACAGTAAATCTAAATAGTGTTTGGATAAAAATAATGTCTGAAACAATGTCTTCAATGATGGTATTGTATCCCTCGCAGCAAACAGACAAACATCAGTCAATCATTGACTGTAAACCAAACTTTAAAATTCATAAACCACACTGTAAAAACATTAAGGTTATATATTGGTAATAAGCAATTGATACGTTAAATGCATCATACATTTTTAAAGCAAGTTTCCTACGCAATTCTCAATCACAGAAGACACTTAACAACAGCATCATACACAGAGTATACCAAACAGTAGGAACACTTTCCTAATGTTGAGTTGCACATTTGTGTCAAGTTGGTTCGATGTCCTTTGGGTGGTGAACCATTCTTGATACACACGGTTAACTGTTGAACGTGAAAAACCCAGCAGCGTTGCAATTCTTCACACAAACCAGGACGAAAAAACCTTCTTTAACCTATCTCCTCCCCTTCAGCTACATTGATTGAAGTGGATTTAACAAGTGACATCAATAAGGGATCATAGCTTTCACCTGGATTCATCTGGCCAGTCAATGTCTTGGAAAGAGGAGGTGTTCTTAATGTTTTGTACGCTCAGTGTACATCTGAACATCTTAAATCACCCTGAATAAATCAAATATAGAGCAAGTCTTACCTGTTGCAAAGACAGCCATAATCCATAGCTCCTTCATCTCTGCTGTTTCCTGGCATGCAGTGTAAGCAGACTGCACATTATTAGGATGTCTGTTGGTCTTATACTGCTCTGCTCTTCACCTGTTACAGAGACTGCAGTGACATGCAGGTACCAGTTAATGATTTACTATTGAAATTAAGGGTGAAGTACTGTACATTGGCTCCAACACTGGCCATGTTATCAACAGGATCAGTAAAGACTGACACACAAATACAGTTGAAGTCGGAAGTTTACATACACCTTAGCCAAATACATTTAAACTCAGTTTTTCACAATTCCTGACATTTAATCCTAGTAAAAATTCCCTGTTTTAGGTCAGTTAGGATCACCACTTTATTTTAAGAATGTGAAATGTCAGAATAATAGTAGAGAGAATGATTTATTTCAGCTTTTATTTCTTTCATCACATTCCCAGTGGGTCAGAAGTTTACATACACTCCATTAGTATTTGGTAGCACTGCCTTAAATTGTTTAACTTGGGTCAAACGTTTCGGGTAGCCTTCCACAAGCTTCCCACAATAAGTTGGGTGAATTTTGGCCCATTCCTCCTGACAGAGCTGGTGTAACAGAGTCATGTTTCTAGGCCTCCTTGCTCGCACACGCTTTTTCAGCTCTTTTTGAGTTCTGCCCACAAATGTTCTATAGGATTGATGTCAGGGCTTTGTGATGGCCGCTCCTATTACCTTGACTTAGTTGTCCTTAAGCCATTTTGCCACAACTTTGGAAGTATGCTTGGGGTCATTGTCCATTTGGAAGACCCATTAGCGACCAAGCTTTAACTTCCTGACTGATGTCTTGAGATGTTGCTTCAATATATCCACATAATTTTCCTTCCTCATGATGCCATCTATTTTGTGAAATGCACTAGTCCCTCCTGCAGCAAAGCACCCCCACAGCATGATGCTGCCACCCCCTTGCTTCACGGTTGGGATGGTGTTCTTCGGCTTGCAAGCAACCCCCTTTTTCCTCCAAACATATCAATGGTCATTATCGCCAAACAGTTCTATTTTTGTTTCATCAGACCAGAGGACATTTCTCCAGAAAGTACAATCTTTGTCCCCATGTGCAGTTGCAAACCGTAGTCTGGCTTTTTTATGGCGGTTTTGGAGCAGTGGCTTCTTCCTTGCTGAGCAGCCTTTCAGGTTATGTCGATATAGGACTCGTTTTACTGTTGGTATAGATACTTTTGTACCTGTTTCCTCCAGCATCTTCACAAGGTCCTTTGCTGTTGTTCTGGGATTGATTTACACTTTTCGCACCAAAGTACGTTCATTTCTAGGAGACAGAATGCGTCTCCTTTCTGAGCGGTATGACAGCTGCGTGGTCCCATGGTGTTTATACTTGCGTACTATTGTTTGTATAGATGAACGTGGTACCTTCAGGCGTTTGGAAATTGCTCCCAAGGATGAACCAGACTTGTGGAGGTCTACAATTTATTTTCTGAGGTCTTGGCTGATTTATTTTAATTTTCCCATTATGTCAAGCAAAGAGGCACTGAGTTTGAAGGTAGGCCTTGAAATACATCCACAGGTACACCTCCAATTGACTCAAATTATGTCAATTATCAGAAGCTTCTAAAGCCATGACATAATTTCTGTAATTTTCCAAGCTGTTTAAAGGCACAGTCAATTTAGTGTATGTAAACTTCTGACCCACTGGAATTGTGATACAGTGAATTATAAGTGAAATAATCTGTCTGTAAACAATTATTGGAAAAATTACTTGTGTCTTGCACAAAGTAGATGTCCTAACCAACTTGCCAAAACTATAGTTTGTTAACAAGAAATTTGTGGAGTGGTTGAAAAGCGAGTTTTAATGACTCCAACCTAAGTGTATGTAAACTTCCGACTTCAACTGTAGATCAGATATGTGACTGGATTAATAAAATGGATACACATGGATGGATACTGTGAGGACCAGTCAACCAATAGCATTACCCTTCTCTATGCAAAACATTATTGGTTGCAGCTGGGAAGGTACAGTACATATTTTGGTAAACAGAACAACTTTTTTTCCAGTAGAGCAGGTGTAATGAGATCTGATTAGAGGGGAAGAATAAAGCAATGGAACTGGCTTGGAGGTCTGGATTAGAATTTGAGGCCACTAAAGGGTGTACTTCTCTAAAATAGGGTTTCCCAAACTCGATCCTATTATGGTGCTGCCATAATAAACAGAATATACAGACAGACCATAAACAAACAGAATATACAGACAATATATATATAGTGTGTTAGTGTGTTGCAGCTGTTCCTCCTTCTCCCTGAGCGCTCCGCTGTTTTACCACTTGCGACCCGTTCTGACCTCGATCTCTGCCTGGCGAACCCTCTCATCCTTGCTGTCCTGCAGCATCATAGCCTGACGTGCTTTGTTGCCTTGTACTCCTCTACCACAGATGTAATTGGCAGCTGCAGCTTGCTGCCTGTGTTCTACAGGCCGATGGAGCAGAAGCTCCTTAATCCATTTTAAATGCGTCCCTTCTGCCCTCGGTAAAGACCAAATTTCGCAGAGAAAATTACTTTGACCTGGGCTACACTGTCTAATGCTATTTTCTGAGTTGTTGTGTAAAATAGTGTTTTTTCTCACTAAGAATACTGAAACAAACATTCGCTTAAAAGAGAATAATCACAGATTTATTCAATACAGTTCCATTTTATAAAGAACAAATGTACAGGATATACAGAATTTGTGCCAAAAACATTGTTGGACAACAAAACTTCTGCGGGAATTCACAGTAAATATACAGTGGGGGAAAAAAGTATTTAGTCAGCCACCAATTGTGCAAGTTCTACCACTTAAAAAGATGAGAGAGGCCTGTAATTTTCATCATAGGTACACGTCAACTATGACAGACAAATTGAGGAAAGAAAATCCAGAAAATCACATTGTAGGATTTTTTATGAATTTATTTGCAAATTATGATGGAAAATAAGTATTTGGTCACCTACAAACAAGCAAGATTTCTGGCTCTCACAGACCTGTAACTTCTTCTTTAAGAGGCTCCTCTGTCCTCCACTCGTTACCTGTATTAATGGCAGCTGTTTGAACTTGTTATCAGTATAAAATACACCTGTCCACAACCTCAAACAGTCACACTCCAAACTCCACTATGGCCAAGCCCAAAGAGCTGTCAAAGGACACCAGAAACAAAATTGTAGACCTGCACTAGGCTGGGAAGACTGACTCTGCAATAGGTAAGCAGCTTGGTTTGAAGAAATCAACTGTGGGAGCAATTATTAGGAAATGGAAGACATACAAGACCACTGATAATCTCCCTCGATCTGGGGCTTCACGCAAGATCTCACCCCGTGGGGTCAAAATGATCACAAGAACGGTGAGCAAAAATCCCAGAACCACACAGGGGGACCTAGTGAATGACCTGCAGAGAGCAGGGACCAAAGTAACAAAGCCTACCATCAGTAACACACTACGCCGCTATGGACTCAAATCCTGCAGTGCCAGACATGTCCCCCTGCTTAAGCCAGTAATGCTAGAGTGCATTTGGTTGATCCAGAAGAGGATTGGGAGAATGTCATATGGTCAGATGAAACCAAAATATAACTTTTTGGTAAAAACTCAACTCGTTGTGTTTGGAGGACAAAGAATGCTGAGTTGCATCCAAAGAACACCATACCTACTGTGAAGCATGGGGGTGGAAACATCATGCTTTGGGGCTGTTTTTCTGCAAGGGACCAGGACGACTGATCCGTGAAAAGGAAAGAATGAATGGGGCCATGTTATGTTAAATTTTGAGTGAAAACCTCCTTCCATCAGCAAGGGCATTGAAGATGAAACGTGGCTGGGTCTTTCAGCATGACAATGATCCCAAACACACCGCCCGGGCAACGAAGGAGTGGCTTCGTTAGAAGCATTTCAAGGTCCTGGAGTGGCCTAGCCAGTCTCCAGATCTCAACCCCATAGAAAATCTTTGGAGGGAGTTGAAAGTCCGTGTTGCCCAGCGACAGCCCCAAAACATCACTGCTCTAGAGGAGATCTGCATGGAGGAATGGGCCAAAATACCAGCAACAGTATGTGAAAACCTTGTGAAGACTTACAGAAAACGTTTGACCTGTGTCATTGCCAACAAAGGGTATATAACAAAGTATTGAGAAACGTTTGTTATTGACCAAATACTTATTTTCCACCATAATTTGCAAATAAATTCATAAAAAATCCTACAATGTGATTTTCTGGATTTTCTTTTCTCATTTTGTCTGTCATAGTTGACGTGTACCTATGATGAAAATTACAGGCCTCTCATCTTTTTAAGTGGGAGAACTTGCACAATTGGTGGCTGACTAAATACTTTTTTTCCCCACTGTACATTGATACAACATTGTGTATATTATAATGTATATTATAGGATAATAGTGGAGGTATATGAGATATTTTCCAACAGAGGTTGAACTTGCAGCCCATCAGTTAGATGTCTGTGAGGAACAAGGTGGAAATGACAGATCAGTGTCCTGCTGTGTGTATGATTCTACTTTTTCACTTTGCTCGCCTCGCCATAGACTGAACTTCTTGGTGTGAAGAGGGATCCCAGCGCTAGAGACAGATTTCAAAGCACTTGACATCTTTTTCTTGACAATTGCTGTTCTTGCTGTGAACAGAACGAAAATCTGCAAGCCCTGTGGAGCGAAAACAAAAACACAGACATAATCAAGTATTTTCAGGAACACACAAGTACAAACAAAAGGTAGCGTTTCCATAAAGAGCAGCAGAATTTATTTTTGTTTAGTAGGTGTCTAGTTTTCAATCATGTCTGGATTCTGTGGTACAATAGTACACTAGTCTTTATATTTAACATTTGAGTCATTTAGCAGACTCTTATCCAGAGCGACTTACAGTAGTGAGTGCATACATTTACTACCTGAGTGGTGGTGAGTACACAGAAGGAGATGTTGAGTATGGTGTACATGGTCTGGTTCTGTGTAATGAGCAACAGATAGCCCAGGATCCAGGAGAGACCGAGCACCACAGCCAGAGAAAAGCTACTGAGGAACTTCTTCTTCATCGATGTGTGTCTTGTACTGGGAAATATAACCAACATGCTTAGACTGCTGTCATAGACTGCTGTAATGCTGTGGTAAAATAACAGTATGCTTCCAATGACTGAGTGGGTTAGAGCATGGTGCTTATTAAATAGTATGAATTGGTTACTAATGACTGAATTAATAAGAATAAAATAATAATACATTTTATTTATAACAAGCTTTTCATTGAAAGACCATTTGAAATGAACAAGCTCATTAGTAGGCATTTAAATTAAGACTGATCTTTATGACTACAACTTGCTACTTTGTGCCCCCACAACACCCCCATTAATGTTACCTGGTTATATGTGGGTTGGTCTTGGATGTGGTAACTGCAAAATATACCAACACCACCATGTTGAAGATAAGCATGAACGCCACAGGGATCAGGAACCCCCAAAACATTGGCAGCTTGAAGTCAAAGTTCCCCTTTGGATCGAGGGCAGCAAGCCAGCAACTGAGAGGTCAAATGAATGAGTTAGAGAGTGGGACTTTGTGACAGACAAAACAGGACGCCAGTGATTTGAATAACGTGGTATAAAGTAAACATGGTGGGTGGCATAAGTAAACAAGAAACCTTTCAACACAATGTTTAACTTTTTATATGGCTCTTGGCCAATTATTAGCATGCATTATAAACATGCACATGAACATTGATCAGGATAACCTTTTACAGCATAAGTTTTACAATTTTATAAAGCAATTGCCCCACTTTAATTTAAATTGAACCTATTATGAGAACCACTGAAGAGGAAGTAAATTGCAGTACAGCAAAGCACAGTACTCAGGTGTAGTTGTGGTAGTATAGTACAGTACATTACAATAGAGTACAGATAAGTAGTTACAGAAATAGTATAGTATTGACTCACAATTCCTCCTGCCTGTAACCCAGTGGATCATCCACTCTGTAACTAATTCCTAAGGTGAGGGCCACCACAACCGCAGGCAGTCCTAAAGGACAGAGAATGTTGTTGTTATTTCCTGGTAGATTAGCATGCAGACATATACAGATTATATACTACACATACATCCTCTAAAGACATAACATCGCTAAACAAGTTGCTTTGAAGCTCTATTTCAGGCTAAATAAAATATAACCTAGCATTCGTTTTGGTTCAAGGAGCCCAGGTCTAATGCCAGCCAAAGCTTCTGAAACAACTAAATACTTTATTTTTCTCCAAGCTGTCCTACCCCATCCGATGGCCACGGTATAGGCTGTGAAGTGTGACGGGCTGGTGGCCAGGCTGTTTCTGATCATCAGGAAGACATGTGTGGCGTACAGCGTGTTCCAGGTGAACGTCCCCAACAGGAAGTACTGCAGCAGGACTGTGACTGCAGTACAGGGGCCTCTGTCCCGCTCTGTGTGTGTGTCGGACAAGGGGACAATGTTGTCCTCCTGTATTTCAGGTTTCTCCAGCTGTTTATGAGGGTTGTCCACTCCCAACACGAAGAGGAGGGTGAAGATCAGGAGACACACGCAGACGCTCACTAAGAGGACAGTTGGGTTGGTTTTGCGTGATTTCCTGGGGATAGGTGATAGACAACACTATGTTAGGGAAGTTAGATGCGTAGCTATGGATGTGTTGGGTCATTATTGGTGGGTTTCATATTGATTTCACCTATCAAGTCGTGTTGGATCAGACAAAGGGCTTCTTTACACTATTGAGATGCACCCAATATGTTTTATTAGTTCTGGAACCCTGTAGGATCTTTCCGGGTCACGATCTGGAATGTTATTGTATATTTAGAATTGGTTCTGGAACCCTGTAGGATCTTACCGGGTCACCATCTGGAATGTTATTGTATAGGTTGAATTGGTTCTGGAACCCTGTAGGATCTTACCGGGTTGCGATCTGGAATGTTATTGTTAAACTCAACCCTATGATGGACATGGAGCATCCCAATGTGGTGATCCAGTTTAGAACTTCAGCGTATTTAAAATCCCTCCTGAATGACTGTAGAAAGAAAAAATCAATTTCAACACTAAGTTTGTCACAGTCATACTGTATAAAGTAATCTCCCTCATGTGTCTGGATATGCTGATGTAAACCTTAGGTTAGAGTGTGGTCAGTTAAAGGGAGATGAAGGCAGCTAGCTACTCACCATAAGCACAGCGAAGTTAGTGGTGTGATTACAGAAACATCGCAGGCCGTCTTCTGAGTGGTTGACTTTGGAGCAGCCAGAGGTGCTCCAGTCGTTCAAAGTGTAGTTCCACCACACGCAGGCAAAGTCATAGAGGGAGGCGTTGGGGACAGCCTGAGAAGTGAGAACAGAAACAAACTCACTGTAAATCCTTCAGCAAAAGACACGCATTCACAGTATTCCTCATTTAAAAAATCATGAAGTCATTTGTGAAGTATAACAGGTCATAAAGTAAATGTGAGACAGAAGAAATTACAATTATGATAGATCATATTATATACAATACAAAATAATGTTCACTGGCCAAAATATGCTTCCTTGGTCCTTATGGAGGATAAGCGTCAATGGATAACTTAGATCAAGGGTAGGCAGCCCTGGTCCTGGAGTGCCACAGGCACATCATGTTTTTGATTTAACCGACCTGGAAGACAAGGTGTGTTGAATTTAAGCAATCACTAATCTGATCAATTAGCTCAGTTGGTCAGGTGTATTGACTAGTTGGAACAAAATCATGCAATACCTGCAGCACTCCAGGAACTGTGCTGCCTGCCCCTGACTTAGATCATGGAAAACTTCCCACTACGTTTCCCAGAGAATTTGGACCACTATGTGTTTATTGATTCCAAGAGAAATCTTACTGTAGGCTTGAAGAGCATCTCAACATGCAACCCAGACACTTGTCCCAGGTTAGCAGAGATGACCCTTCTGCTGGTTCCAGAAGAAGCTGTGTAAGTCCTGGACCTGAAGAACCGGTCGTTTTGGTAGAGCACAAAACCAATGGAGCGGTTTGTGTTTTTACTAAGCAAAACTGAGTCGAGAGAGTGAGCGAGAGAGAGAGACACATCGTTATAACACTACATACGTAGCCATAATGACATTTGAAATGTATCTATTCCTTTTAAACTTTTGTGAGTGTAATGTTTAGTGTTAGTTTTTTGATTGTATATTTGCTTTGGCAATGTAAACATATGTTTCCCATGCAAATAAAACCCTTTGAATTGAGAGAGAGAGAGAGCGAGAGACATTGTTTTTCATATACATGAGTAGCTTGACTTTGCCTTGTAGGCAAATTGGAAGCCCAATTACTTCTCATTAGTTTACTTATCCATACAGTGAGGGAAAAAAGTATTTGATTTTGTATGTTTGCCCACTGAAAAAGAAATGATCAGTCTATAATTTTAATGGTAGGTTTATTTGAACAGTGAGAGACAGAATAACAACAACAAAATCCAGAAAAACGCATGTCAAAAATGTTATAAATTGATTTGCATTTTAATGAGGGAAATAAGTATTTGACCCCCTCTCAATCAGAAAGATTTCTGGCTCCCAGGTGTCTTTTATACAGGTAACGAGCTGAGATTAGGAGCACACTCTTAAAGGGAGTGCTCCTAATTTCAGCTTGTTACCTGTATAAAAGACACCTGTCCACAGAAGCAATCAATCAATCAGATTCAAAACTCTCCACCATGGCCAAGACCAAAGAGCTCTCCAAGGATGTCAGGGACAAGATTGTAGACCTACACAAGGCTGGAATGGGCTACAAGACCATCGCCAAGCAGCTTGGTGAGAAGGTGACACCAGTTGGTGCGATTATTCGCAAATGGAAGAAACACAAAAGAACTGTCAATCTCCCTCGGCCTGGGGCTCCATGCAAGATCTCACCTCGTGGAGTTGCAATGATCATGAGAACGGTGAGGAATCAGTCCAGAACTACACAGGAGGATCTTGTCAATGATCTCAAGGCAGCTGGGACCATAGTCACCAAGAAAACAATTGGTAACACACTACGCCGTGAAGGACTGAAATCCTGCAGCGCCCGCAAGGTCCCCCTGCTCAAGAAAGCACATATACAGGGCAGTCTGAAGTTTGCCAATGAACATCTGAATGATTCAGAGGAGAACTGGGTGAAAGTGTTGTGGTCAGATGAGACCAAAATCGAGCTCACCGTATTTGGAGGAGGAGGAATGCTGCCTATGACCCCAAGAACACCATCCCCACCGTCAAACATGGAGGTGGAAACATTATGCTTTGGGGGTGTTTTTCTGCTAAGGGGACAACTTCACCGCATCAAAGGGACGATGGACGGGGTCATGTACCGTCAAATCTTGGGTGAGAACCTCCTTCCCTCAGCCAGGGCATTGAAAATGGGTCGTGGATGGGTATTCCAGCATGACAATGACCCAAAACACACGGCCAAGGCAACAAAGGAGTGGCTCAAGAAGAAGTACATTAAGGTCCTGGAGTGGCCTAGCCAGTCTCCAGACCTTAATTCCATAGAAAATATGTGGAGGGAGCTGAAGGTTTGAGTTGCCAAACGTCAGCCTCGAAACCTTAAGGACTTGGAGAAGATCTGCAAAGAGGAGTGGAACAAAATCCCTCCTGAGATGTGTGCAAACCTGGTGGCCAACTACAAGAAACGTCTGACCTCTGATTACAAACAAGGGTTTTGCCACCAAGTACTAAGTCATGTTTTGCAGAGGGGTCAAATACTTATTTCCCTCATTAAAATGCAAATCAATTGATAACATTTTTGACATGCGTTTTTCTAGATTTTTTTGTTGTTATTCTGTCTCTCACTGTTCAAATAAACCTACCATTAAAATTATAGACTGATCATCTCTTTGTAAGTGGGCAAACATACAAAATCAGCAGGGGATCAAATACTTTTTCCCCTCACTGTATCTCATGTGACTCAACTTTATTGGACAATCAATATTTTTGGCACTGCTGACCTGATTTCGGAGACAAAGCGCTCTCGGTGAAAGCGGTTCAAGGAAATTGAAGCTTGAGTTTATACACTATGTTTGCATACCAACATTGGCTCACCTGGTGGGAATTTGATAACAATCTGGACATCGGTAGAAACGCCGTTGTCAGCTATCAGTTCAGAGGTATTAGTGTTGAGATTAATTCTGTTGGCCACAAAATTACCAGATCTTCCTGGAGGAGATTAATTTGATTTAGCAATTTAAAGCAGAACAATATAGTGTTACTTCTGTACTTGTCTGTAGTACAACAAATCAAATCCATACCAAACCTTATTGACCAACAGCAGAGGAGAAACATATGAAAAATAAGATAGAAGAAGTTGAACTAGACTGTCAACACAGATATAAACTATCACTTTAAACGACACTATGTAGGTTCACTAGCAGTCCCACCCACCAGTCAGAGCAGTAAACTGGATCCCTACTGTGTCACTTGGTACTTGGACAGACAGGACTACCAGGTTGGGCTGAACCACCAAGGACACAACACTGTGCTGGTCCAGGGAAAACTCCTCCAGGGTCTCTGTGAGGCTGGGAGAGAAACACAGAAAAACATTAGTTTACATGCACCCATGCAGACACGCACAGAGACACACGTACACACATAAACTCAAACATATGCAGAAACACACACACACACACACCTCTGGACAGCGTCTCTCTCCTGTGTAGTCTCCCCACTGGCATTCAGCAGCTGACTGATGGTAGTTACAGCTGCCACTGCGATGTCCTGCAACATGATCAAAACCAGGGGATGACCCTCAAGTGTTCAAATCACTGTAATAACAACCTCACGTTTCTCTCCAGAACATGTCATAGTCAAGAGTTGATTTGAAAACATGTTATACCTCTGTGATATTTGCAGACTGAAGCAGCGTGTTAGCTATCTGAGCTGCTGTGGTGATGTTGTCAGCTGATAGCCGCTCTGGTTGGGAGGTCAGGATCTGAGTACTGAAGGCTAGCTCTTCTAAATCACCTGAACTGCTGGAGATCTGAATACGGAGAGAGAATGATTTTTATTTATTTTAGTATTGTTTTTAAACAGAACAAGTGGCAGCAACATGCTGAACTGTGAGTACATTTGGATATTAAAATTGTCAATACTAATTATGTGGCCCAGTTGGTAGAGCATGGCACTTGCAACGCCAAGGTTGTGGGTTCGATTCGCACCAGTACGAAAAAGTATGAACATGTATGGGGGGAATCATCAACGGTTAAGTAGAATAAAGGAACAGAATACATGAGCTGAAGGTAAAAGCCAGTTGTTACTGATCTTCAAAATAAGATCAACTCCTCATAATTATAACTGTAAATCTAATCAAATTTGATTAGTCACATGCTCCAAATACAACAGGTGTAGACTTTACCGTGAAATGCTTACTGACGAGCCCTTTCCCAACAATGTAGAGTTAAAAAGTACGAACATTTGCACCTAAGGAAATAGTAACACTAAATAACAATAATGAATCTATATACAAGGAGTACCGGTAGCGAGTCAATGTATTATGATACGAGGTAGTTGTGTTGGTTGAGGTAAATGACCCAAAGACTGGTCATAAATCGAGACTGGTCATAAATCAGGATCATAAAAAATATGCCTATTGACTTACATTTCCTTGAATGCCACTGAGGGTTAATTCACACTGCAGCTTGTGAGGAGGACCAAACATTGGAGATCCCGTGTCATTCAAACATCTTGCTGAGGCTTCTGGTAAACCGGCTGGAGGAACAAAGACAAAAAGACACTCAAGATTTTGTGTTACCTTATACAACATTAATTATGACTGTACATTTTTTTTCATTTTAGGTGAATAAAAGCAACATACCACTGGTTGTATCCTCACCGCACAATGTTTCTGAATAAGCAGACCAGCCAACTGTTGTTCTTGGGAAGGAGAATCCATCCTTGATGGTTGAATTGCAGAAATTCCCTATCGAAGTAAAATACATTTCAACATGGACCAAATGTATGATTGCAAACATGAAATATACATTCTGAATGTGAGATCCAGGGAACAGTGTTGTGGACTGTGAATGTGAGATCCAGGGTTAGTTATAGTGGCGTAGTGGTGTGTACTGTGAATGTGAGATCCAGGGTTAGATGTTGTGGTGGATATTTTAATCAATAATGAGGAGAGACCAGGTCAATCACCAATCAGAATATTAACTTTATTAAAAACGTATCGATAAGGAAGCTGGTCACAATACCCACACCAAAGTGATAGAGTGAGAGCCCAACGAACAGGAAATGCTGGCGTCTTATATAGTGGACCTAAACATGCTTAGTCATGGCTGGTTCCACCCCCTCCCCGGCAGATCAGGAACTACCTTTTCCTCTTCTTGTGGCTATCTGTATCAGGTCATAGCGCACAAACAAGTGATAACGTTAGCTCCCTTACTGCCCATATCTCCACACAGCTGTGCCCTTGGAAGATAGTAAAAGACAGGATGAACTGAAAAACTGTGGTCACTCTGAGGCTCTGTCTTATGCCGTGTGACCAGGTTACTCAGAAGCAAAGAGAAATTGAAACAATACAGGTCTATCTGTTCCTCAAGTTTATCTCTATCCCATGTCCTTGACTATATTTACATTACATTTTAGTCATTTAGCAGACGCTCTTATCCAGAGCGACTTACAGTTAAGTGAGTGCATACATTATTTTTTTACTTTTCATACTGGCCCCCCGTGGGAATCGAACCCACAACCCTGGCGTTGCAAACACCATGCTCTACCAACTGAGCTACATCCCTGCCGGCCATTCCCTCCCTTACCCTTGACGACGCTGGGCCAATTGTGCGCCGCCCCATGGGTCTCCCGGTCGCGGCCGGCTACGACAGAGCCTGGATTCGAACCAGGATCTCTAGTGGCACAGCTAGCACTGCGATGCAGTGCCTTAGACCACTGCGCCACTCGGGAGTCACGCCCAGACCTGCTGCAGGGAGCTAGAGGGAACCATCCTTATGAAAAGCACAGCATTGGTAGTTAAGAAATGTCTCTACTATTGTTAAGCATATTAATTAATTGTTAACTATTAATATTAAACAAATCAGGTAAATATGTGATTTTTCTCCCACAGAGTAGCGTAGTGCTGTTTACTCTGAATGTGAGATCTAGGGTTAGGTATAGTAGTGTGGTATTGTGGAGTGGAGTCTGAATGTGAGATCTAGGGTTAGGTATAGTAGTGTAGTATTGTGAAGTGGAGTCTGAATGTGAGATCCAGGGTTAGGTATAGTAGTGTGGTATTGTGGAATGGAGTCTGAATGTGAGATCCAGGGTTAGGTATAGTAGTGTGGTATTGTGGAATGGAGTCAATGTGAGATCCAGGGTTAGGTATAGTGTAAGTGTGTGGATGTACCCTCTGAACAGGTCTCTCCGGTCCACTCATCAGGACAGATACAGACTCCACTCTGCAGCTCACCACCATTGATACAGACCAGAGGAGGGATTGTGGTGGGAGAGGTGGTGGGAGGGGTGGTGGTGGGCGTCGTGGTGGTGGGAGAGTTGATGGTGGGGGTGGTGGGGAGAGTGGTATTGGTTCCACCCACTGTTGTGCTTGGAAGTGAAGGATGTGCAATAGTTGGAGTGTCAGTAGTTGGAAAGTCCGTAGCTGGAAAGTCCATAGTTGGAGTTTTGGTAGTTTGAGTATGGGTTGCTGGATTGTGGGTTGCTGGAAAGTCGGTTGCTGGAAAGTCGGTAGTTGGAGAGTGGGTAGTTGGAAAGTCCGTAGTTGGAATGTCCGTAGTTGGAAAGTCCGTAGCTGGAGTGTGAGTGGCTGGAAAGTCGGTAGTTGGAATGTCCATAGTTGGAATGTCCTTATCTGGAAAGTCTGTATCTGGAAAGTCCATAGTTGGAATGTCCGTAGTTGGAAAGTCTGTAACTGGAAAGTCCATAGTTGGAGTTTCGGTAGTTAGAGTATGGGTTGCTGGAAAGTCGGCAGTTGGAGTATGGGTTGCTGGAGTGTCGGTAGCTGGTGTGTCGGTAGTTGGAAAGTTGGTAGTTGGTGTATTGGTAGTTAGAAAGTCAGTAGTTGGATAGTCGGCAGTTGGAATGTCCGTAGTTGGAATGTCCGTAGTTGGAAAGTTGGTAGTTGGAGTTTTGGTAGTTGGTGTATTGGTAGTTAGAAAGTCGGTAGTTGGATAGTCGGCAGTTGGAATGTCCGTAGTTGGAAAGTCCGTAGTTGGAAAGTCCGTAGTTGGAATGTCCGTAGTTGGAATGTCCGTAGTTGGAATGTCCGTAGTTGGAAAGTCCGTAGTTGGAAAGTCTGTAACTGGAAAGTCCATAGTTGGAGTTTCGGTAGTTAGAATATGGGTTGCTGGATTGTGGTTTGCTGGAAAGTCGCCAGTTGGAGTATGGGTTGCTGGAGTGTCGGTAGCTGGTGTGTCGGTAGTTGGAAAGTTGGTAGTTGGTGTTTTGGTAGTTGGAAAGTCAGTAGTTGGATAGTCGGCAGTTGGAATGTCCGTAGTTGGAAAGTCCGTAGTTGGAAAGTCCGTAGTTGGAGTGTGGGTTGCTGGAAAGTCGGTTGCTGGAGAGTTGGTAGTTGGAATGTCCGTAGTTGGAAAGTCGGTAGTTGGAAAGTCGGTAGTTGGAGTTTTGGTAGTTGGTGTATTGGTAGTTGGATAGTCAGCAGTTGGAATGTCCGTAGTTGGAAAGTCCGTAGTTGGAAAGTCCATAGTTGGAAAGTCCATAGTTGGAAAGTCCATAGTTGGAAAGTCCATAGTTGGAAAGTCCATAGTTGGAAAGTCCATAGTTGGAATGTCCGTAGTTGGAATGTCCGTAGTTGGAAAGTTGGTAGTTGGAGTTTTGGTAGTTAGAAAGTCAGTAGTTGGATTGTCGGCAGTTGGAATGTCCGTAGTTGGAATGTCTGTAGTTGGAAAGTCCATAGTTGGAATGTCCGTAGTTGGAATGTCCGTAGTTGGATTGTCCGTAGTTGGAATGTCCGTAGTTGGAAAGTCTGTAACTGGAAAGTCCATAGTTGGAGTTTCGGTAGTTAGAGTATGGGTTGCTGGATTGTGGTTTGCTGGAAAGTCGGCAGTTGGAGTATGGGTTGCTGGAGTGTCGGTAGCTGGTGTGTCGGTAGTTGGAAAGTCAGTAGTTGGATAGTCGGCAGTTGGAATGTCCGTAGTTGGAAAGTCCGTAGTTGGAAAGTCCGTAGTTGGAGTGTGGGTTGCTGGAAAGTCGGTTGCTGGAGAGTTGGTAGTTGGAATGTCCATAGTTGGAATGTCCATAGTTGGAATGTCCGTAGTTGGAATGTCCGTAGTTGGAATGTCCGTAGTTGGAAAGTCGGTAGTTGGAGGGTCGGTAGTTGGAGGGTCGGTTGTTGGAGTGTCTGTAGCTGGAGTGTCGGTTGCTGGAGGGTCGGAAGTTTGAGGGTCGGTTGTTGGAGTGTTGGTTGTTGGAGGGTCAAGGGTTAAAGGGGCATCAGTTATTGGGGTAGTTATGTCAATGGTGGTTGGAATGGCAGAGAATGTGGTGAGATCCCCCTGTGGCAAAGAGACTGCCCAAAATATTAAAATAACTCTGGAAACCAAATAAACAAGGGTACATAGTGTAAGTTCCTATAAGCTTAGGAGATGATCCAGACTGTTCCAGTTTCATTGTGTCTTCACCAGTGTAGAAATGTTTACTGTACTTTATGAGAGAAATAAGTAATTATCACTGCCAATAAACGGTAGACATTTGATAGCAAAAGCTACTCTGTTATAAACTGTATCTGAGAACTGACAGTAGTCTATTCACAGTATGTAAACAATTGCTTAACAGTACATCTAAAAGTGTTTGGATAAAAATAAAGTCTGAAACAATGTCTTCATTGATGCTATTGTATCCCTCACAGCAAACAGACAAAACATAAATCAATCATTGTCTCTAAACCAAACTTTGACTCTAAACAAACCACACTGTAAAAACAGTAAGGTCATATATTGGTAATAATCAATAAGTTAAAAGCATCATACATTTTTGAACATCTGGAGAGTGACAGCAATTTTCCTACAGTTCTCAATACAACAAACTTAACAGCATCATACATCTGAACATCTTAAATCACCCTGAATAAATCAAATATAGAGCAAGTCTTACCTGTAGCAAAGACAGCCATAATCCATAGCTCCTTCATCTCTGCTGTTATCATGCATGCAGTGTAAGCAGACTGAATATTATTAGGCCGTCTGTTGGTCTTATGCTGCTCTGTTCTTCACCTGTTACAGAGACTGCAGTGACATGCAGGTACCAGTTAATGATTTAGTATTGAAATTAAGGGGAAAGTACTGTACATTGGCTCCAACACAACCCACGTTGTCAACAGGATCAGTAAAGACAATGACACAAGTTCTTTGAAAATAGATCAGATATGACTGGATGAACAAAGAGAATAAACATAGATGGATACTGTGAGGACCAGTCAACCAATAGCATTACCCTTCTCTATGCAAAACATTATTGGTTGCAGCTGGGAAGGTACAGTACATGTTTTGGTAAACAGACCAACTGTTTTCCACTAGAGCAGGTGTAATTAGATCTGATTCAAGGCTTAGAATAATAAAAAAAAAGCAATGAAACTGGCTTGGAGGTCTAGATTAGAATTTGAGGGCACAAGAGGGTGTACTTCTCTAGAGCATGGGTACTATGCTGAGGTGCATGTAACACAAAGTTCATCGTATACTAAGAGTAAACAGTTCCAATGAAAGGCACTTGTTCCTAAAGGAACCATGTTAATAGGAAAGATGAACCCAACTGCAGAGATGACAAATGGTGCCTTTACATTGTTGTGATTAATTCATGTAATTAATGAAATAGACAATAGATGCAAAGCTGCCGCAGCATACCCATTTTATTGTTATTTAACAATATACATATAATTTAGAAACAATTGAATTGTTGAGTACTGTCAACGTGAACATGTGCATTGACACCAGCACACAACCATATGGACTCAATCTGACCACTGCTCTTCCCTTCTCTTAACCCTTTCCCTGTTCCTTTACAGTTCTGGAAGGCTCCTCTCATTAAGGCCACATCATGCCCTGACCTAGTCATGGGTACGTCCCAGTAATATCTCCTTCCTCCTGAAGTGTACAGTCCTTCACTACTTCACCCACAAATCTAAAAACATTGGATTTGTAGAGGCATTGTCCAACGCAGGGATGGGCAACTGCTGGCCCGGTGTAGGCCTGCGGATACATTTCCAAATATGAAAGAAAAAAAATTAGGAACTCAGTCGGGGTCTCAACTTACTGTTGAGAGTTAGAATAGTAGAATACACAAGGTACAATTTCAATACCAGATATCATAATAAAAACTGCACATTTCTCTCCGCCCCCTTACAAATGATTAGAATTGCAGCAAACTTGCTTTAAAGCGGCAACATTTTTTCTCCGCCCCATGGCAAAATGTGTAGAACATTGAGACACACACACACAAAATTCCACTTAGGGCCCCCAAAAGGCTCGGGCCGGTTCTGACTGCATGTGCGGGTATGGATGTGGTTAAGCAAACCCGCGAGCCACTGCGGACCCTCATGATGAGTTCAGATGTTTTGTGGTCCCCACCCCCATCAAAGTTGCCTATCCCTGGTCTAGTGGGATTTTCTACCATATTTATTATTCCAGTCATTTCCTTTCAAATCAGTGAAGGGAAGTGAACAAGTGCAAACTTGTGGAGGAAGGAGAGATAATTGGAACGTATGGCTAAGACTGGAGGTAGCAAGTGTACTATCCTTTGCAGGACAGATTATGGCAGCCAGCTCCATAGATCAGGACTGAGATATAAAGAGGATGGGTTTCTAAAGACAGCAGGACAGGTCAACATTTAACCCTGGAGTCTCAGATTGACAACTCAAGTCTTAATCTGTCCACAGGCTCCAGAGCCAGGAGATGGGATAATGGAGGTGAGAGGGTTTACCAGGAAGACGACAGGACAGGACAGCCTCCTGAGTGGTATAAAGGATTCCAATTAGTCCTACAACTATCAATTAGGGATGGGGGGGGGGGGGGGGGGGGGGGGTTTAGAATTCAAATATATATGGAAGATAGGCCTAGAAGCAGTGGCAGACAGTGGCAGGCAGCAATAGTTGTTCTTTGTCAGTTGTTTAAATAATGAAGTCCTCCTCTGTCCTCATTTCTTCTTCTTGTCTTGTGTGGAGGTGAACCAGGCGTCCAGCAGCTTCTTGCTGTAGTAGATCTGCCAGCCGTGCACCTGCACCGCCATCACCATCACCAGGTACATGACGGACACAGCAGAGAAGCCGAAGATGAAGCGGTAGGCCTTGCCGTGACGGTACAGCTGCTGGGCCACCGGGAACATCTCCATACTCCCGTAGATGAGCGGCGCTATGCAGAAGAGCCCAGCACTGATCATGGAGATCACCAGGTAGCTAATGTTGTTTTTGGGCAGGGCCATGAAGCTGAAGAGGGAGGGGATGATACTGAGCAGGTAGGGGTACTCCCACTGGTAGGGAGCAGCCACCACGCTGTGGGACACCAGGTTCAGCTGGCTCACCGTCACCTGGGCAGCTAAGAGGAGCCAGATCAGAAGGTGGACGATGTTTAGCTTACGGATCTCCGACTTGAGGGCGACACTGATGAGAAAGACAGAGGAGAAGCACAAGAATATGTGGTGTTTCAAATGGGTCACTGTGAACAAAACCGGTCATCTTGTTCTTACGAAGGCACTTAACCTTAATTGCTCCTGTAAGTCACTCTTGATAAGAGCGTCTGCTAAATGACTAAAATGTAAATGTAAAAACATTCAAATGAGAGCGAACCTCATCTGGTAGTGTGAGGCCACTCTCTCGCGGTGCTGAAAGTCACTCCCATCTGTGCCAGTAGCTCGAGGTCCAGCTCGGGAAGCCATGGCTACCGCCTGTCCAAAAAACTCTGGAAGTAAAACATGTCATTCATTGTGTTGAGAGAGCTTTCCAAGGTGCTCATTAGTGCTCATTAGCTATTTCACCACCGCAGATAAGTATACAGCATTCACTATCACTCTCGAAGACATTGTAACCTAATGGTTGATAGCAGTCTAATTACATTAGACAACTAGCCTTTAAAATAATATGACTACTACGATTTGTATGAAATTAGCAATACCAATGAATTATCAAATTGTATTTGTCACATGCATTGTAAACAGGTGTAGACTAACAGTGAAATGCTAACTTACAGGCTCTTCCCACAATGCAAAGAGAAAAATAGAAAAATAATAGAAATATAATAACAGAAAGAATAAATACACAATGAGTGATGATAACTTGGCTATATACACGAGGTACCAGTACCGAGTCAATGCAATTGAGATAGATATGTACAGTTTAGGTCGCAAGTTTAAAACTATAGTTTTGGCAAATCGGTTAGGACATCTACTTTGTGCATGACACAAGTAATTTTTCCAACAATTGTTTACAGACAGATTATTTCACTTATAATTCACTATCACAATTCCAGTGGGTCAGAAGTTTACATACACTAAGTTGACTGTGCCTTTCAACAGGTTGGAAAATTCCAGAAAATCATGTCATGGCTTTAGAAGCTTCTAATAGGCTAATTGACATCATTTGAGTCAATTGGAGGTGTACCTGTGGATGTATTTCAAGGCCTACCTTCAAACTCAGTGCCTCTTTGCTTGAAATCATGGGAAAATCAAAAGAAATCAGCCAAGACCTCAGAAAAAAAATTGTAGACCTCCATAAGTCTGGTTCATCCTTTGGAGCAGTTTCCAAACGCCTGAAGGTACCATGTTCATCGGTACAAACAATTGTACGCAAGTATAAACACCATGGGACCACGCAGCCGTCATACCGCTCAGGAAGGAGACGCGCTCTTTCTCCTAGAGATGAACGTACTTTGGTGCGAAAAGTGCAAATCAATCCCAGAACAACAGCAAAGGACCTTGTGAGGATGCTGGAGGAAACGGGTACAAAAGTATCTATATCCACAGTAAAGCGAGTCCTATATCGACATAACCTGAAAGGCCGCTCAGCAAGGAAGAAGCCACTGCTCCAAAACCGCCATAAAAAAGCCAGACTACGGTTTGCAACTGCACATGGGGACAAAGATCGTACTTTTTGGAGAAATGTCCTCTGGTCTGATGAAACAAAAATAGAACTGTTTGGCCATAATGACCATTGTTATGTTTGGAGGAAAAAGTGGGTTGCTTGCAAGCCGAAGAACACCATCCCAACCGTGAAGCACGGGGTGGCAGCATCATGCTGTGGGGGTGCTTTGCTGCAGGAGGGACTAGTGCACTTCACAAAATAGATGGCATCATGAGGAAGGAAAATTATGTGGATATATTGAAGCAACATCTCAAGACATCAGTCTGGAAGTTAAATCTTGGTCGCAAATGGGTCTTCCAAATGGACAATGACCCCAAGCATACTTCCAAAGTTGTGGCAAAATGGCTTAAGGATAACAAAGTCAAGGTATTGGAGTGGCCATCACAAAGCCCTGACCTCAATCCTATTGAAAATATGTGGGCAGAACTGAAAAAGTGTGTGCGAGCAAGGAGGCCTACAAACCTGACTCAGTTACACCAGCTCTGTCAGGAGGAATGGGCCAAAATTCACCCAACTTATTGTGGGGAGCTTGTGGAAGGCTAGCCGAAACATTTGACCCAAGTTAAACCATTTAAAGGCAATGCTACCAAATACTGATTGAGTGTATGTAAACTTCTGACCCACTGGGAATGTGATGAAATAAATAAAAGCTGAAATAAATCATTCTCTCTACTATTATTCTGACATTTCACATTCTTAAAATAAAGTGGTGATCCTAACTGACCGAAGACAGGGAATTTTTTATCAGGATTAAATGTCAGGAATTGTGAAAAACTGAGTTTAAATGTATTTGGCTAAGGTGTATGTAAACTTCCGACTTCAACTGTACATATAGGTAGGGGTAAAGTGACTAGGCAACAGGATAGATAATAAGGAGTAGCAGCAGCATATGTGATGAGTCAAAAGGTAGCTATTTGGTTAACTATTTAACAGTCTTATGGCTTGAGGGTAGAAGCTGTTCAAAGTCCTGTTGGCAGTCTGTACTGCTTGCGGTGTGGTAGCAGAGATATCAGTCTATGACTTGGGTGAATTAGGTCTATGAATTAGGCTAATAGATTATTTGATTAAGCATAAATACAGAAATGACTTGCCCAAAGCATAGCTGATCCTCCTAGTTTTCCTAAAGGTTACCCACTGAACCTGACAGTGGACACATGAGGATGATGGGCATGTGGATTAACACTTGCTTAGCTGCCCTCTGCTTGCCTGTCCCCTTCTGCTGGCTTATCAGATAAGGCCAGGCCAGGATGATTTCTAGTTAGCAAGTTAAGTATTTAAATCCCCCCTGTGGACTATTTAGAAAGAGCCCAGTAACGCTTGTGTTAAAACATTCATCAACAGGCCTGATACCAATACAGGTGTTTAAGGCAGTCTAGCTAGCAAGCATCATCAGCTATTAGTATGCAGTTTCTAAAGCGACCAGCTGCTTGTAAACTAAACAATCATGATCACAGTTCGTCCTGGATTGTATGTGAGGAAATGCATGACAATGTAATGTTACTAGTCAAAATGTAAAGAGACACCCAGACAACTTTAACGTTACCAAGTTCGCTAGCTAGCCAGTTTGCTAACTTAGTGGTACTGCTAGCGTAACAGTCTCATCATTGCCGCGGACACTTTGCAAGAGCAAACGGCAGCTAAAGTTTGGTTTGCTAGACATACGTTAATGTAATACTTACTGTACGTTCAGTACAACAGTAATCGTTAAACGTTCAATTAACAAACGTATTTCGACTAAACTCGGCGGACATTCTCCTTTCTCCCGTAGACATGCGCTACACCGAAGTGTTGACTATTCCGTCTGTGATTGGACAGATGACTGAACGGAGAGTAGTTAGGGACAATCCAAAAAGTTCTACTACAGTTGAAAACAGAAACGCTCATTGCGACAGGTTATGATATCACTTTTCCACCGAAACTTCACATTCCTCTGTCCCATGTCCTCCTTCACACTTCCCACATCTTGGATTCTCCCTCCTACACACTGCTGCAACATGCCCATAAACGTGACACCTATAACACCGCAGTGTATTCTATGATATCCGTTTGTATTGTAACTATATGAGATAGATGCAAAATTAGTGGTCTGTGAAATATAAATGATTCTTTATGTAAACATTTAGCAACAAATGCATTATTACATATTGCATTTTGTGAGTGTATGCAGTGTTGTGCAGGTATTGACAAAAATGATGATGATGATGATGATGATCTTCTTGAAAAATGTGAGTAACCAACAATGGTATGTGTTGGAGCCTTGTTCACACTGCAGGCCTTAATGCTCGAATCAGTGTTGTTTTTGAAATTCGTTTTGGAATACTCTGTCCAAACAGCAAGTTACAGGTGACCAAATCTGATATGTGTGTGTTCAGAGAGCAGTCATTTGCTGACATGGCTATGCTAATTGTCATAGTAACGACGGGTGTGTGCGCAGTGGTGTAGGCTGATTGGTGGTGGTGCTCTGGTTCCTATCTTTCAAAAGTTATGTAACAGGATAAGGTGACAACAATGCCTGCCGTGGACGTTTACAAGTTGCTTTAAATGTTCAAAATCATAGTGTAAGAACACTTTTAAAACCTCAAAGGATGAGATGATCCAACTTTTAAAATAAATCATTTTTGGCTTGCAACAGCAGTCAACTAGCTAGCTAGGTAGCTGTTTAGCTTTCTAGCACATTCACTAATTTGCTTGTAAACAATTAACAAGCTAGTTGGCTACCACATGTTCTTGTCAAACTATCAACAGAGTAGCCAGCAAGCAACAAGATATGCCAAATAAGTTTAAAAACCACTTGACGGCAAATAAATCAGATTTGAACGTTCAGACTCAAGTCGCATTGGCCAGGACTCAGATTTGTATCTGATTTCAAACCACCTACGAAGGTGGTTTGAAATGTGGCTTGAAATATCCGATTCCATGTGCTTTTTGGCGGTTCAGACTGCAGGAAAAAGAACAGATTCAAATCGGATATGCAAAAAAATAGGATTTGAGTCACTTCAAACTGCCAATGTGAACTAGGCTTGTGTGCAGGCCCATTGCAACAAGTAGCAATCAAAGAAGAGAACACATGCACACATTGTTTTAATCACTTCATCTTTATTTTTTAGAAAAACAACAATAGTGCCAAAAACGTTACACTAAGTTCTTCATTTGGTTATATGTTTAGCACCATTGTCAGGTTACATTTATTTTTTCCTTCAAGGCAGTCTCAACAGGGATGCACATTTACAATTTCAGGCAAAATCAGTAGTTAAACAAATAAATTACAGAGAGGAATACTGCCACATACCTTAAATTGAATGTGCATATTGGAAAATGTTGACTATACACCCCTTCAAACTCTCATAACTCATTTATTTTTAATGCACAACCGATTAAATGGGCAGCTTGTAACCAAAGGTCTTCACTATGTTGCATATCAATATAATTTTATTTTACGTTCCAAACCATGAAACAAGCTAATTTTCAAATATGATATCAATAAATAAAAATGGTAGACACTTCTGCATAATCTGGAACAATGTGAATAAATTGATGATTAAAAATAAAACAATCTGTCGTGGAGGAACTATGGGATAGGAAAAATCATATCGTTAAAGGGGAACAATGCATGGTAATACATACCGTGAATGTAACCGTGTTACTTATGTGCCAAAAGCATAATCTGGTACGAAATAAAGACATTAGAATGTCTTCTGAAATGTCCACACATGGAAGAATTATCTCCGAAGTAGAATTGTGTACTAACATTAGGTATGCATGACAGATAAAGCTGATGCGTTGATGCTTGCTTATGAAAGCTGGGGTAGACGGCTAGCCATTTAGTGGCATAATAATAATTAATAATAATAATAATAATAATAAAAATAATATTGCATTAGCAGACGCTTTATCCAAAGCACTTACAGTCATGTGTGCATACATTTTAGTATGGGTGGTCCGGGATCAAACCCACTACCCTGGCGTTACAAGCGCCATGCTCTACCAATTGAGCTACAGAGGACCACATCATGATGTGGCTGTGACTGTTGGAATGCAAAGAATGGATATACTGAGAGCACATAACATAAATCTGACATGAAAAATAAAATACAAACAAATGGCATATATTCACATAAGGAGAAGAACATGTTGGGAAAAAGTAATAATTCCATCCTAAAAAGAGTTCTCTCTTTAATAAAAAAAAGAACACATTGCTTCCAATGTAATATGCTGCTATCTACACTAGCGCCATACCATGTCAGCAACCATGTTTTCTCTATAAACACTATCAATCATGTGAGGTGGATGCCACTGCTACAATTGGGATAGTCAGTATTCTCAATAATTAGCAAAATTTTTACCCCCTATTAACCAACAGAAATTGTAATTTACATAATTATCTGAATATCTACAGTTGAAGTCGGAAGTTTACATACACCTTAGCCAAATACATTCAAACTCAGTTTTTCACAATTCCTGACATTTAATCCTAGTAAAACTTCCCTGTCTTAGGTCAGTTAAGATCGCCACTTTATTTTAAGAATGTGAAATGTCAGAATAATATTAGAGATAATTATTTATTTCAGCTTTTATTTATTTCATGCTTTTTTATGGAGCAGTGGCTTCTTCCTTGCTGAGCGGCCTTTCAGGTTATGTCGATATAGGACTCGTTTTACTGTGGATATACAGTGGGGAAAAAAAGTATTTAGTCAGCCACCAATTGTGCAAGTTCTCCCACTTAAAAAGATGAGAGAGGCCTGTAATTTTCATCATAGGTACACGTCAACTATGACATACAAATTGAGGGAAAAAAAATCCAGAAAATCACATTGTAGGATTTTTAATGAATTTATTTGCAAATTATGGTGGAAAATAAGTATTTGGTCACCTACAAACAAGCAAGATTTCTGGCTCTCACAGACCTGTAACTTCTTCTTTAAGAGGCTCCTCTGTCCTCCACTCGTTACCTGTATTAATGGCACCTGTTTGAACTTGTTATCAGTATAAAAGACACCTGTCCACAACCTCAAACAGTCACACTCCAAACTCCACTATGGCCAAGACCAAAGAGCTGTCAAAGGACACCAGAAACACAATTGTAGACCTGCACCAGGCTGGGAAGACTGAATCTGCAATAGGTAAGCAGCTTGGTTTGAAGAAATCAACTGTGGGAGCAATTATTAGGAAATGGAAGACATACAAGACCACTGATAATCTCCCTCGATCTGGGGCTCCACGCAAGATCTCACCCTGTGGGGTCAAAATTATCACAAGAACGGTGAGCAGAAATCCCAGAACCACACGGGGGGACCTAGTGAATGACCTGCAGAGAGCTGGGACCAAAGTAACAAAGCCTACCATCAGTAACACACTACGCCGCCAGGGACTCAAATCCTGCAGTGCCAGACGTGTCCCCCTGCTTAAGCCAGTACATGTCCAGGCCCGTCTGAAGTTTGCTAGAGTGCATTTGGATGATCCAGAAGAGGATTGGGAGAATGTCATATGGTCAGATGAAACCAAAATAGAACTTCTTGGTAAAAACTCAACTCGTCGTGTTTGGAGGACAAAGAATGCTGAGTTGCATCCAAAGAACACCATACCTACTGTGAAGCATGGGGGTGGAAACATCATGCTTTGGGGCTGTTTTTCTGCAAAGGGACCAGGACGACTGATCCGTGTAAAGGAAAGAATGAATGGGGCCATGTATTGTGAGATTTTGAGTGAAAACCTCCTTCCATCAGCAAGGGCATTGAAGATGAAACGTGGCTGGGTCTTTCAGCATGACAATGATCCCAAACACACCGCCCGGGCAACAAAGGAGTGGCTTCGTAAGAAGCATTTCAAGGTCCTGGAGTGGCCTAGCCAGTCTCCAGATCTCAACCCCATAGAAAATCTTTGGAGGGAGTTGAAAGTCCGTGTTGCCCAGCGACAGCCCCAAAACATCACTGCTCTAGAGGAGATCTGCATGGAGGAATGGGCCAAAATAACAGCAACAGTGTGTAAAAACCTTGTGAAGACTTACAGAAAACGTTTGACCTGTGTAATTGCCAACAAAGGGTATATAACAAAGTATTGAGAAACTTTTGTTATTGACCAAATACTTATTTTCCACCATAATTTGCAAATAAATTCATAAAAAATCCTACAATGTGATTTTCTGGATTTTTTTTCTCATTTTGTCTGTCATAGTTGACGTGTACCTATGATGAAAATTACAGGCCTCTCTCATCTTTTTAAGTGGGAGAACTTGCACAATTGGTGGCTGACTAAATACTTTTTTTCCCCACTGTAGATACTTTTGTACCTGTTTCCTCCAGCATCTTCACAAGGTCCTTTGCTGTTGTTCTGGGATTGATTTGCACTTTTCGCACCAAAGTACGTTCATCTCTAGGAGACAGAACGCGTCTCCTTCCTGAGCGGTATGACGGCTGCGTGGTCCCATGGTGTTTATACATGCATACTATTGTTTGTACAGATGAACATGGTACCTTCAGGCGTTTGGAAATTGCTCCGAAGGATGAACCAGACTTGTGGATGTCCACCATTTTTTTTCTGAGGTCTTGAAATACATCCACAGGTACGCCTCCAATTGACTCAAATGATGTCAATTAGCCAATCAGAAGCTTCTAAAGCCATGACATCATTTTCTGGAATTTTCCAAGCTGTTTAAAGGCACAGTCATCTTAGTGAATGTAAACTTTTGACCCACTGGAATTGTGATACAGTGAATTATAAGTGAAATAATCTGTCTGTAAACAATTGTTGGAAAAATTGTTTGTGTCATGCTCAAAGTAGATGTCCTAACCGACTTGCCAAAACTATAGTTTGTTAACAAGAAATTTGTGGAGTGGTTGAAAAACAAGTTTTAATGACTCCAACCTAAGTGTATGTAAACTTCCGACTTCAACTGTACATTTATCTGAGGGTTTTGCCGAATTAATTTCTGGGGTAAATAAAATGTGTTGCAGCGAGATTGATTTATGTTTTTTTGCACCCATGTAATACTGCAATACAACCGCATAAACATACTATAGCATATAGCACTCACACATTCATTGGATACTTCTGAGCCGAGTAGTAGTTTTCACCATTGTCATCATGTGTCACTATTGAGTTCAAAAGTTTAAAATGAACACTAATAAAACAGCTATGTAGTGTGTTGTGGTGTGGATGCCCTTTTGTTGTTGTTGATGATGATTTTTTACATTGGGTACAATAAATATCCGGAGAATGAAGAGTGGACATATTGACCGGCATAAAGTCCTGCTGCCTGGTCAGATGGAAGCTGTATATGCACAGTGTCTCCTTGCTGTAAGGGGAGCACAGCACTCCCTGACGCCTGGTCCAGGATGCCCTTTTTGTACTCATCATATGTGTACATCACTGGCTCATTGTTCTTGACCAGTGCCACCCACACATTCGCTCCTTTGCAGTGGACGTGGTAAGCAAAGTAATAGATTCCCGGTATGGTACAGCTGAAGACGCCGGTTTGAGGGTTGTAGTCCTGATGGCCGTTGTACAGGAGCTTGTCGAAGACAACAGGGGAGCCTACGGGGGGAAAAGGATTGGTGAGCTGAGCCGTGAATGCTGGCATCTCCAGGCCGTTCCTGTCTCCTCCATTCTTTGGTTTCTTGTAACTGCCTTGTTTAAGACCATCCAGACCAGGACCCATCTCAGGAAGGATTTCACCAAGACCAGGGGGTTGGATGGGGGGTCCGGGTGGGCCAGGGGGACCAGGTTGTCCTGGTTGTCCAGGCTGACCAGGGGGTCCACCATTGCCAGGTTTCCCTTGGGGCCCTAAATGGCCTGGAACACCAGGTTTACCTACGCCGGGGTAGCCAGGTTTCCCTGGTGGACCAAGCTCGCCTTTTGGCCCGGGAAGACCGGGAGGACCAAGTGGTCCACCTGGACCAAAATTTCCTGGGATTCCCTTGGGTCCCTGGTGACCTTTTTCTCCGGGAATTCCACCTTCTCCCCTCGGACCGGGCATTCCAGGAGCTCCAGGGAGGCCAGGTAACCCTTTGTGGCCGTTATCCCCTTTCGGACCCAGTGGCCCTGGTATACCTCTCGGTCCTGGTTGGCCACCCTCTCCAGGATACCCACCCTGTCCAGGAAGCCCTGAAGGCCCTGGCTCACCTTTAGGACCTGGCAGCCCCTTTGGCCCTCCATTGCCACCTTCCCCCTTCGGACCTGGGAAACCAAGACCCCCAGGTGGCCCAATGGGACCGGGCGGGCCGGGTGGCCCGTTGGGTCCAGGAAGGCCTTCCTGTCCTGGGAGACCTCCATGACCTTTGTCACCTTTCGGGCCTGGAACTCCAGGCAAACCTCCATGTCCTTTGTCTCCTTTTGGTCCAGGATATCCTGGCTTTCCATAACCAGGTAGGCCTGGGCCCCCTGGCAAACCTGGTGGACCTGATTCCCCTTTTCCGCCTGGGAACCCTGGTTGTCCTGGCAAACCGTCTTGCCCGGGTTTGCCAATACCTGGTAGCCCAGGTGGTCCTGGTTCCCCTCCTTCCCCTGGTGGCCCAGCAAGTCCTCCTTCTCCAGGTGGGCCTGGTTTTCCTGCCCCCCCGGGCATTCCTGGTAGTCCATTCAGACCTGGTTTTCCAACCCCTGGCAGGCCCCCTTGACCAGGAGGCCCAGGTGGTCCACCAGGTCCTTTCAAACCTGGCAATCCTGGCAAGCCAATCCCTTTGTCTCCCTTGGGCCCAGGAAGACCAGGCAGTCCAGGTATGCCCTTGTGCCCAGGCTCCCCTCGAGTCCCAGGCTGCCCTGGCAGTCCCTGACCCCCTGGCTTCCCGATGCCTGGCAGGCCTGGTGGCCCTGGAAGACCTGGCCCCCCAGGCATCCCCATTGGTCCTACATCACCACCAGGACCAAAGTCGCCCTTCGGACCTGGCTGACCGCCTCCACCAGGTTTACCGGGCATTCCCGGCATTCCGGGTTTCCCTATCCCGGGATACCCTTGGGGACCAGGAGGGCCTGGTTTTCCATGGGGGCCGGGCATCCCTTGACCTGGCATCCCTGGAGGGCCCTGTGGTCCTGGGGGCCCCTGGGCTCCTGGTGGCCCCTCTGGACCAGGACCCTGTAGTCCCCTATCATCAGGTGGTGGGCCTCCAGGGCCTTTCCCATTACTGGGATATGTCTGACCTGTGGATGACAATATCAATTAGCATTTACAATGAATTACTGACTTGAGTTAGTGACTTGAGTATCTCATTGAGCACATAGGAACATGACCAATTAATATGCATGGACATTGGGGTAAGCCCAATGGACTTTCATCCGTAGATGATTGGCCAAATGATTTATCTTTGAAAATGAATGCCAAAAGCTGGCTTTAATGTCCCCCGTGGGCACAGGGTGCTGATAGTTGATGTTAAAAGCATGTTACATTTCCCAATTATCAAACATACATTCTTTGTTTCCTTGCTTGATTGTTGAAACTGTCAAAATACACATTTATGTGAAATCTCTTACACTCTTAGAAAAAAGGGTTATTCGGCTGTCCCCATAGGATAACCATTTTTGGTTCCAGGGAGAACTCTTTTTGGTTCCACGTAGAACCCTTTTGGATTCCATGTAGAACCCTCTGTGGAAAGGGTCCTACATGGAACCCAAAAAGGTTCTAACTGGAACCAAAAGGATTCTACCTGGAACCAAAATGGGTTATTCAAAGGGTTCTCCTGTAGGGACAGCCGAAGAACCCTTTTAGGTTCTAGATAGCACCTTTTTTTCTAAGAGTGTACCTGCAATATGCCATATTTCAAATCAAATCAAAGTCTATTGGTCGCATACACAGATTTGCAGGTGTTATAGCAGGTGCAGCGAAATGCTTATGTTACTAGCTCCAACAGTGCAGTAGAATGTCTCGCAAATATAATACAAATAATAAAAAATCCAATTAACAATCCAGGGGTAGATACAGTGCATTCGGAAAGTATTCAGACCCCTTGACTTTTTCCACATTTTGTTATATTACAGCCTTTTTCAATCGATTGGACATAATTTGGAAAGGTACACACCTGTCTATATAAGGTTCCACAGTTGACAGTGCATGTCAGAGCAAAAACCAAGCCATGAGGTCGAAGGAATTGTCTGCAGAGCTCCGAGACAGGATTGTGTCGAGGCACAGATCTGGGGAAGGGTACCAAAACATTTCTGCAGCATTGAAGGTGCCCAAGAACACAGTGGCCTCCATCATTCTTAAATGGAAGAAGTTTGGAACCACCAAGACTCTTCCTAGAGCTGACCGCCCGGCCAAACTGAGCAATCAGGGGAGAAGGGCCTTGGTCAGGGAGGTGACCAAGAACCCGATGGTCACTCTGACAGAGCTCCAGAGTTACTCTGTGGAGATGGGAGAACCTTACAGAAGGACAACCATCTCTGCAGCACCCCACCAATTAGGCCTTTATGGTAGAGTGGCCAGACAGAAGCCACTCCTCAGTAAAAGGCACATGACAGCCTGCATGGAGTTTGCCAGAAGGCACCTAAAGACTCTCAGACCATGAGAAACAAGATTCTCTGGTCTGATGAAACCAAGATTGAACTCTTTGGCCTGAATGCCAAGCGTCACGTCTGGAGGAAACCTGGCACCATCCCTACGGTGAAGCATGGTGGTGGCAGCATCATGCTGTGGGGATGTTTTTCAGGGGCATGGAATGGGAGACTAGTCAGGATTGAGGGAAAGATGAGCAGAGCAAAGTACAGAGAGATCCTTGATGAAAACCTGCTCCAGAGCGCTCAGGACCTCAGACTGGTGCGAAGGTTTACCTTCCAACAGGACAACAACCCTAAGCACACAGCCAAGACAACGCAGGAGTGGCTTCGGGGCAAGTCTCAGAATGTCCTTGAGTTGCCCAGCCAGAGCCTGGACTTGAACACGATCGAATATCTCTGGAGAGACCTGAAAATAGCTGTGCAGCGACGCTCCCCATCCAACCTGACAGAGCTTGAGAGGATCTGCAGAGAAGAATGGGAGAAACTCCCCAAATACAGGTGTGCCAAGCTTGTAGCGTCATACTCGATGCTGTAACCGCTGCCAAAAGTGCTTCATCAAAGTACTGAGTAAAGGGTCTGAATACTTATGTAAATGTGATATTTCAGTTTTTTATTTTTAATACATTTGCAAACATTTCTAAAAACCAGTATTTGCTTTGTCATTATGTGGTATTGTGTGTGGATTGATGAGGGGAAAAAAACAATTTTATCAATTTTATAATAAGGCTGTAATGTAAAAAAAATTGAAAAAGTCAAGGGGTCTGAATACTTTAGAATGAACATGTGTCAGAATCCAGAATATAAATACATGGTGTGTATAGACAGTATATCATTTGGAAGGGAAAATGGTATGTACAGTAGTAGCTATATTATGATGAGCTATGTGGAGAATACAGTATATTAACACACGGTGAGTGAACAACAGTATTATTTTATGTGTATTTTGCCTGCTTCACATGTGATTTGTAAAACATTTCAATGATTGCTTTTACAACCCATGTGCAGGATATTATTTCCTGTGGATGCTAGGAGAGATTACGTTTGCTTTGACGAAAGGAATTTTTTTCTTGGAAAAGCAGTTGAGGTGATTTGAATGTTACTAACATGTCAGTGAGTGGGTAATGGTTTCATGTCAGCACTGCACCATGAACATGGATAGTCTGCCTCTGGTTGTACCAGACTGTCCATGTTCCCTTTCCCTTCAAACCCACATTGGTGGCCATGGCCATGACCCAATTTAAAATCTAAATATTGTTAAAATATGCTATAATTAGAATTGTTTAGCCTACACAAAAAAAGGTGCTATCTAGAACCTAAAAGGGTTATTTTGCTGTCCTCAAAGGAGAACCCTTTGAAGAACCCATTTTAGCTCCAAGTAGAACCCTTTTGGTTCCAGGTAGAACCCTTTCGAGTTCCATGTAGAACCCTTTCCACAGAGGGTTCTACATGCAACCCAAAACAGTTCTACCTGGAACCAAAAAGGGTTCTACCTGGAACCAAAAAGGGTTCTCCTATGGGGACAGCCGAAGAACCCTTTTGGAACCCTTTTTTTTCTAAGCGTGTTCATCACATTTCTGTGAAGTAGACCACCTATTAAAATCTCACCTTTTCCCTTGCCCTTATTGGGTGGCATCTGTGGTTGTTCGTGCATCTGTGGAAGCATCTGTGGAAGTTCCTGCCCATACTGTGGCAGCACATATGGCATCTCTTTGCCATATGGCATATGTTGTGGCATTTCCTTCCCCAGGTACTGTTGCTGGGGCAGCCCGTCCCCGTTCCCGTTCCCATACCCGTTCCCTAGGGACATTTGAGGTATCTGTTGCATGGGCTGGTGCTGCTGGGGGAGGTGCTGCTGTGGGTGCTGCTGCTGCTTGTGCCCGTAATATGCCGCCCCACGGGCATGGTGGCATAGTACCAGACACAGCTGGAGCGCCACCACCAAATAGATGAGAAGAGGGGAGGGGCTTGGCCATGTCCTATAGGAGGGAGAGAGGGCAGGTCAGCAGAATACATAAGCACATTAGCAGATGGGATTTTTAAGACCATAGAATGAGTTAAGCAGATGAGATTTTGAAGACCATAGAATGAGTTAAACAGAGGTGTTCTGACAGATATATTAGAGAAAATGTATGGCAGCAGGCCTAATGCAGTAAGGCAATAATTCCTCGCTGAAGTTTAACGGAATCATGAGAGCTAAGATTAGTGTGCTATTTACAATTTTGTAGTGAGGCCTCAGGATGCACACTATAACTATATGGCTATACACAGAGAGGGACTCCCAAATATTCTGATCACACTCTACTTTGAAACATTTTAAAAGCCATATTTCTGTGGAACAGATAATAAATAGTTCTGACAAGCTAAATTACATTGATTTGAGTTTGATACTGCCAGCATGGACAGCCAGGCCACTCCTCAAGGGCAGACATTTTTGGCTCTGAAACCATAACACTCTTATTCAGAGGTGGGGTTTTGAGTTACTGGGCGGGTAGGAAAAGAGAGAGCTCCTTGTTGTTGGTTCCTGCTCTAATGGAGAGATGTGTTTTGCATCATTGAGAAGCGAATGTGCAAAACTTCGACCTGAAACTAGTCCAACTCATTACTTCGGAGCTTCACTCAGCACAATTGTTACCGAGCCAGTGGGCCTAGCCCAGTGTAACGAGGGAAGAGGGGATTAATCATACGACTGTATTTCTATATTTTGAAAGTTATATATCTTGAAAACTCGATTGCTGACATGCAAAACATTTTGGGACTATATCAACAATGGACTAATGAAAGAAATACCAAAATATGAGTTTTAACACTGCAGTATGCTTGTTTGGGTTTTAAAGGCAACACTTGGTTCAAACAAGGGGGTAGAGTACATTTGGAGGGACACTGAGCTAGCTGTAAGATTACTGTTGATTAATGGAGGCTGCTGAGGGGAGGACGGCTCATAATAATGGCTGGAACAGAGCAAATGGAATGGCATCAAACACATGGAAACCATGTGTTTGATGTATTTGATACCATTCCACTGATTCCGCTACAGACGTTACCATGAACCCGTTCTCCACCAACCTCCTGTGTTGTTCATACACTATGACTAGTCTTATTCTCGACACCTAGACAAAACAACTGTGAACAGTGAGGAGTTAGAAGCAACATAGCAGTCTAAACATGACAAAGCCTTGACAGCACATCTATTCCCACTGGGCAAAAACTGGTTGAATCAACGTTGTTTCCACATCATTTCAACAAAATAAATAATGTGATGACGTTGAAGCAACATGGAAAACTGATTGGATTTGCAAAAAGTCTTCAATGTAAGGAATTTTGTCGTTTTTTTACACACATTTTTACCTAAATCCAATGGCATGGTGACAGTGTTTGTTGATTTCATGTTGAATTCACGTTAATTGACAACTCAACCAAATGGAAATCAAAACTAGACGTTGAACTGACGTCTGTGCACAATGGGTTGTCAGTACATGCTAAGTACATGCAGTACAAAACTGACATGGCATTTAAGTGACTTCATCAGACCAAAGGAAAAGCAATGACTAAATGGACAATTGGTATGTGTTGTTCTTGTAAACATCATCATGACCTCAGACTACCATACCACCTGAATCAAGTCATTTATGGTTTGACTTGGCAAAAATATCTCTGCTTTCACTAACCATTTAATGCACTGTTTGTCTACCCAGTAACCATATGTATGCACTCAACACTGGATAAAATGACCTCACTCTGTCCAAGTCAAGGTTGTGAATCTCTATGCTTTCATAACAATCAGTCTG